CCTTGTGGCGAATCATTAAAAAGAGGCCTCAATGATTAACTGGGTCTCTTAAGTAGTGAGAAAGATTACTGACAATCAACATTTTAGTTATAAACTACTGTTTTCGTTTTTTAAAGTTAGAAGAAACGAAGCTGGAATTAAATTTCTGAATAACCAAAAATGCTAACCTACTGCTGGTTAGGCACAGTTCTCAACAAACAAACGATTCATTTCTTCTGTTAGGCAAAGTTTGAAGCAGTTGTCCAGACAAAAACTCACTTGATTAACCCTTTCTTAGTTCTGCTGAGGTGCGGTGTGGTGGACCAGACGATATATAAATGCAAAAGTATCAACAAAGTTAATAAAGATCAATAGAAATGTTAATATATATATATAAGTTAATTATTACAAATACAATAGAAAGTTGGGACTTACGTTCACCAAATTGATGCGTGTTCGGCTTTGGTCTGGTACTAAGGAACCACAATTATAAATGCTTGGTAATTCCAATCTAGTTGACGAACTCTTCAGTGATATAATCCAACGTAGGATGTGATATATTCCAATTACAGTCTGTAAATGTAGATAGTATTTGATTTAGACTTCAGTTAACTCAATCACGAAACGAAGATTGAACGAGGAGTGCGTGAGTAGTAGTGTACTTGTTTGCCAGCAAGAGTATGTCACGCTATGTCAGTATCACAACGGAAAGAGCGTTCAAGGTCATTTACTAAAACATCAGGTACAATCATTTAATGTTAAATATACATACAGTGGAAGGTTGACAAAATAAATACAAATAACATTGAAAACTATTTACAAAATAAGCTTGTCAGGCCTATCTCCACATAGCTCCCCCTAGAGTGTCCGGAGGTAACACTGGTTATAATAACAAAAAAAATTGTAAGAATATGATATATACATGTATACAAAAATAATATTTACAGTTATAGCTAACAAAAATGTGGAGAGGAGTATGAAATGTGGCAGAGATGTAGCATAGCATAATAAACACACACACACACACAAAAAGAAGACACTGTCATTTAATGTCTTGGTTGGCTAACAATGATAATAATAATGTGCAAAACTGCTAATAACCCAAAGAAAAAAAATTGAACTGTTTATTTCTGTGTACAATAAATGAGTAATTAAATAGGGTTTACTCGTTTATTATAGTAACAAAAAATTTTTTTATAGAAAAAATAGATGTGACAAAAAACGAATAATTGAGGAAAAATTAGTAGTGTGGGACATGAGTAGATGTTTGCTTTGATTGTTTGTTTTTTTGTTTTTTTTTAATCGACGAGATGGACATAATGCTTGGGTTTTGTTATAAGTCTCCCAGAACGTGTTAAACAAGAGGGTGTAGTGCTAAGTTTTTCATCCTCCTCTTGTTTCGTGGCAATTGCTGGAAGTGATTGTTTGTTCGCAGTATTGTCTTCTTTGTCTTGAGGGACTTCGTAGAAAGCTGGTTTTATTCTGTCTATGGAAATTGTCTACTTGTTCTCATTTTTGTTGATAACGAAGTCTTTGCTTGTTCGTTTGATTACTTGGTATGGTCCTTCGTACGGTTGCTTCAATGGTTTTTTAACTGCATCAACACGGACGAAAACAAACTTGCATGTTGTGTTCTCGAGGCGGTGTGGCTTTGATTCTATCCATGGTTTGTAGTAATTAGCTGGCGAAACAGCTTGAGTCTGTTGCTGTTGCTGGATTTGAGTCTACGAGTTGTCCTGATAATGTGAAAGTTGTACCATAGACTAACTCAGCAGCTGTACACCCTATGTCTTCTTTGATGGTTGAACGGATACCTAGGAGTACAAGAGGTAGTGCATCACTCCATTTTGATGTGTCGTCTTGTGCCATCAGCGAGCTTTTCAGTTGGCGGTGAAATCTTTCGACCAAGCCATTAGCTGCTGGGTGGTAAGCTGTGGTTTTAATGTGGTTGACCCCTGGAAGTTTAGTGAACTGCTGAAAAAGGACAGATTGAAATTGGGGACCGCGATCTGTTGTGACTATTGATGGTACTCCATAGTTAGATATCCAGCGGCCGAGGAAGACTGAAGCGACTGTTTCTGCCGAAGTGTCTTTTATGGGGCAGGCTATGGCCCATCTAGTAAACCTGTCTACTGCAGTAAGGATGTACGTGAAAGAGTTTCATGGTGGCAGAGGCCCCACTAAGTCTAAATGCACGTGCTGATAGCGTTTGTCAGGGATAGGGAACTTCCCAATTGGACTGGAGGTGTGTTTCTGCGTCTTACTGCGTTGGCACTGGAGTCAGCTACGTGTCCAACGTTTAACATCTGAGTTGATTTTCGGCCACACAAAACGATCGGTAATAAGCTTTGTTGTTGCTCTGATGCCTGGATGTGAAAGACCAAGCAAGTGCTGAAATATTTTTCGTCGGCAGGCGTGTGGGACAAACGGACGATTGTTGCCTGTTGAGGTGTCGCACATGATGAATGCATCTGAAAGAGGAGTTGGTACAGGTTTGATATTTAAGCTGGACTTTTCTTTGCAGACTTTCGATTCTGTATCGTCTACTTGTAATTTAGCCAAGGTTTCAAGGCTGATGTCATGATTGAGTACCATCGTATTGATATCCCTCCTAGATAGTGCGTCTGCGACAATGTTTGTGTGACCTTTGATAAACCTGATGTCTGTAGTAAATTGGGAGATATAATCAAGTTGTCTTGCTTCTCGTGGGGAGCGTTTGTCATAAGATTTGCTAAAAGAATGGCAAAGGGGTTTATGATCTGTCATAATGATGAAATCGCGACCCTGAAGCCAGAAGTTGAAATGTTTTACGGCTAAGTACATAGCCAGGCGTTCGCGTCCAAAAGTACTATGACGTTCTTGTGCCGGTGATAATCTTTTGGAGAAAAAGGCAATGGGGGTAATCGTGTTGTTTACCCGCTGTTGCAATACTGCCCCGATGGCTTTTTGTGAAGCATCTGTGCACAGGATCAACAGGGTGGTGGGGTCAGTATTTAGGTGTTGGAGCATGGTAGCATTGACAACTATGGATTTTACTTTTTCAAATGCTACTTTGGCATCGGAAGGTAACCTGAATACTTGGTTCTTTTCTTTCTTGGTATCTGATTTATCGTTTTTCAGTAAATCTGTCAACGGCTGTAGTACATCGGCGCAACTTGGTATAAATCGTCGATAAAAATTGCATGTTCCAAGAAAACAACGTAATGATTTTACTGAGGTTGGTTCTGGGTAGCTGGTGATGGCTCTGACTTTTTCTTCAAGCAGTTTAGTTCCTTGGGAATCAATGTGATGTCCCAGGAATTTTAAGGCTGGGACGGCGAATATAGATTTAAAAGGCTTGATAACAACGCCATGTTTCTTAAAACGTTCAAAGAGGATCTGTACATACTGGGCGTGCTCTTCTATTGATGAGATTGCGATCAAAACGTTGTCTATGTAGGCGAATACAAAATATAAGCCTCTTGTAACATCATTCATGAATCGTTGAAATGTCTTGGCGGCATTTTTCAATCCGAATAGCATTCTGAGAAACGCAAACAGATCAAAGGCTGTGATGATGGCTGTTTTCTCGATGTCTTCTGGTGAAATCGGAATTCGGTGGTATGCGCGCACAAGGTCAAGTTTCGAGAAAATGCATTTGCCGTGCAAGCTTAACGAGAAGTCATGTATATGTGGGATAGGGTACCTATCAGGGATTGTTTGATTATTCAGACGGTGGTAGTCGCCACACGGACGCCAATCTTGGTCTTTCTTTGGTACCATGTGTAACGGCGAGGCCCAAGGACTATTAGATGGTCTGATGATACCAAGTTGCATCATGTGTTCAAATTCTCTCTTAGCTGTCTGCAACTTTGTTGGTGATAGTCTCCTCACTTTGGCGCGAATGGGTGGTCCGTTGGTAGTGATGTGGTGCTGCACATGGTGTGGATCGCATTCTTTTTGACAGTCTAATTTCGTGATGCATTCGTATTCTGTCAGTATGTCGTTGAAAACGTTGTTCACAGGCTCCATTATTCGTACACCATGGATTTCGTAGTCGTTGGAAGGTGTACCATCTACCTGTAAACGTGTATTTGCATCGATTAATTTCTTCTTAGTCATATCTACCAACAAGTTGTACGCACTAAGGAAATCGGCTCCGAGGATGGGTCGTTTGACATGAGCAACTATGAAAACCCATGTAAATCTTCTGCGTAGTCCGGGGTCTAATATAAGTGATTGTTCACCGTACGTTTTGATAATTGATTCGTTAGCCGCTATTAGGGACAATTAAGTGCTTGTTATCTGTTGTCTGCGGGAGAGATGGACTTGGATGACGCTGATTTCTGCTCCAGTATCGGCTAAAAAGTCCAAGCCAGAAATACGATCCCTGATGTGAAAGAGGCGGCTAACATGTTGGCCAGTAACAGCTGCAGCCATTACTGTCTGACCGCTTCGTTTCCCTGATGGTTTGGGTAGTTTGTCTTAAAGCTGCACGGTTTAGTGCAACGGCGTGCTTTCTCACCATAATTCGAATGATGTCAACAAATTCTGGCTGCCCGTTTGGGACATGGATTGCTTTGTGTTTGATTATTGGGACGTTGCGTTATATCTCATTTGAGAAGGTTAGTGCAATATCTAGTTAGAAAAATGATGTGGATAAAAGTTAGAAACGATGTGAATGGGTCACATAATATTGGTTACATTATTTCAAGGTTGTGCTATACTACAGATGTCGCAATCAGGTTTTCACCTAGTTCTAGCTGATTGTTTATTTTTGCAAGTAACACTGAAGTAAGAGAAATGAGGGAAAAAGCGAATACACATTGCTAATAGTATGAATCGCATAACTTCTTGCATAAATATAAGTAAATTTGTTAGTCGTCGCAGAAATGAATAATTTTCCATCAATGCTTAGCCTCTACACTCATGAAGATGAACAACGTAGTGTGTTTTATGCCAAAGAAGTGTGATTTGGGCAATTATAATCGAGAGCGTGTGGGAAATCAAATCGTCATGCATTGAAACATTCGCGCTGTGGTCGCACTTTCAACTGTGTGCGCTACGTCCGGTTATCTGACCTTAGCTGCACAGTTTTACTGAATGTGTAAAGTCTTTTCGATATTATCTCACCATAAACTTTCATTGCTTTTATTTTGGGAATGAGTATTCTTTCGAATTAGCCTTTTCATGCGAAAATAAATTGCCGAAATCCATACATTTAGTCTGCATCTTATAAGGTGCAGGAAATATATTTCCTAGTTATAGCTAGTACTTATATCAACTTCATAGTTACCGTTGTAATTATCAGATCAAGGCTTTATAGGTCCGTTGTAAACATATGCAATAGAGGTTGACGCGTGCACACAAGCTGCTTCCTTGCCTCATATTGATTGATATTGATGTTTCATGTTATGTACTAGATAGACGTCGTAAATCAGTCTAATTAGTTGCTAATTGTCATTAAATTAAGTGGCTCAACATGTGTTGCGGGCACCGTTTTTGTCGGTCCTCACATGTTATCAATATAGCATCAGAGTCAAAATAAGACAACTTTAGACTAATGAAATTGTCGAGACTATAATTTATTGACGAACCAATTAAATTTGAAACAACAGGTCTCGCATTTTAGCGCAAAATTTATACACTTGGTTAAATACTATTTCGGCATTATAGCTGATGTCAGTTTGTGATGAAAACCCTAAATGTAATTGCTAACCCTAACCATCAACTGTAAATCATAATTCTAATTCCTTACACTAGTTTATAATCCTCATTTAGTCTGGGTTAGTAGGTGGTCATTTTATGGTCATCGCGTTCCTCAAGGGTTGTCCAAAAATTATAGTCTGACCAGAAACTTTTTTGATAATTTATTTTCCAGCATAAATTTTTCTTATCTGTTCATATGCACTCATATATCTATTCTGGCTGAAATTGTTGTTTCTTAGCAATTTCAGTGAAAAGTGTCTTCTATGCTTGTCCCTAAGTTGCTTGGTGAAATATGTTCACCAGGATCGGTTTAGGCTGACAATGTCTTTTTTTGGGTGACTCTTAATTCCGGAAACGAGTCATATGTATATTCTGTATTTAATCTTATCTAATATTCCTTCACATTTATCCTCCTTTCATCATCTATAGAATTTTGGTTGACAATAATAGACTAATGTATTCGGTTTAAATATTCTCAAAGCTCTTATAAGTTTTCTCGAAGCATCAATGGATCATAGATTCTAATGATCGTATAGATATCTGATACAAACTGTCATTTATACGAACATAACTGAGCAAAGTTTTGTGGACGCTATTTTGAAATATTTCGATGTATTATACAACTTCATCAGTTTGACTTCAAAAGACACCATTTCATGTGCCAAACGATCTTTGCATCGTCTTAAAATTGCATACATAGATGTTGACTTTAAAAATGTGTCTTACATTCGTTACATTTCTTCGCTTCTAGAAATGACTTTTTAAATCAAGTATTTTCATCTGGTCAAAATTACTTAAATTCTTCCATCTGTTTACAGGCAATGATGTCGGATTCAGACAGTTCAAATAAAGTTACCAGTACATTTGAACACTTCTATCATATAGCTTCGTCATACGGATTTGGACTGCATACATTTTCCATCCCAACCGTGATCAAAATCCGAAATTTTTCTGATTCTAAAGACAAAGTATGTTTTTTTTGTTTTTTTTTGTAAATGTGAAATCAAAGCAGTATATTTAATAATGGAGTATCAGTTTAGACGATCAGGTAGAATGCTTAGACGGCATTCCTCGTTAACAACCTTCAAAATTGACTAGATAAACTGACATTTTGGACCCTCTTGGGGAACGAATGTAGCTCGTATGGAAAGTAAATTATCTGATGTCTAATAAACTGAGTCTTGTGTCTGGTCCTACGTTGTAGCTGACGGAATGATTTTGAACACACAAATCAGGTTTATGATACCTGGTAGCAACAAAATCAGCAAAGTTCAGAAGACTGGAGCCTGGATGTTTATTAATCACCTTGAAAGATTGCAAGGTATCTACTTGATGTCTTATATCCAAGAGATGTTTAGTGATTTTACTGTTTGAAGTCGTCTATAAACAAATATTGAACAAATATCATTCTTGTCCTGACGATAAAATCTCTTTTATTAGTATGAGAAGTGAGTTAGCTAAATGATTATTTCTCAGTGGAAAAAATTAGTCAGTTTTGGCATAACAGCCAACTAATTAATACACGTTCTGAATTTTACAGTCATCTGTTATTTAAAACTACAGTCATTCCATTTATTCTGAGGTTAGCGATAAAATGAAGTTATAATTTTCTTTTCATTTCTGCGCGAGCGTTTTCTGAATTCACTTATTACGTCTGTGATATATCCATACCATTTATTTTTCGTAATTTTAGCTACGCTGTCGAATTTACTTCATTTCTTATCCGTCGACTAGTTTTCAACCTGGTACTAAACCTTCATTGTTTTTCGCTGATTTAATCCGGCAGAATTCCGATGATCAATTAATATGGTATCCATTGTTGCCTAATGAATTTTTAGACTATAAGTAAGCATTATTATCATAATCTTTGTAAGATGATATGATGAATGGTGTTACTGTTGTTGATTATTTCAGCAAGTTTACTGGATAATTTTTTTGTTGATTTTAAGGAAAATCTATAAAAATCTCAGCATAGACTATAAATTGCGTGAATAGATAGGTATATGTGCCCAAATTGAAGCAGGTGGTTTTCTTAGGGAGCCACTTCCAGAGCCTTCGACCTAAAGGTCTGATCCACAAGAGAGTGGAGCATCGTCAGAAGATGCAGTCTCATGGTAGTCGGTGACCAATGATTGGTTCATACGCATTTCGTTCCTTCAGGATACTGCAGCCAGCTCATATGCACCATTGGTTTCGAATGAGGGTTTTCCAACTCCCTTAGGTGGATTCTCCATGTCGACCAACCCGATTAGTGTGAGACATTCGCTTTTCTTCCTCTCAATTTCGTAAACAACGTCCGTGGTGCGAAAAGGCAGTAGTTGTAAGCACGTGGCCATGTGAAAGCATTCGGATTGGGAAAGCTGACTTCCTCCGCTCTCGGGCGTACTAATGCATTTGGGGCCTATCATTTTAGAATGAATTTCCATAGGTAATTTATGTATATTTTGAAAGTTGTTAAGAATTTTCTAAAAATGTCCATTTATTTTACCGTAAGTCATTTGATTTTTTTAAACCTTATTCATCAAAGTGAAATTACGATGTAATGATTCAGATGTTCAGTATTCATCCATCCAGTCACAAACATACGCTTATGAAAATTAAGTTGTTGTGATGTATGCAACCCGTTGATATATGGCTCTACCTGCTTCGGTTTGAATAGCTGGATAATACCGTAGCTGTCAAATAAAGTGATTTGTAGCTGGTTGTATTAAAATGTTCTTCATAAACGAATCAGATTATTTTCAGTTGTTTGGTTACAGTTGTTTTGCCTTTAGCAATCGATTTTTTAGTGTAGGAGATTTGCGATAACTTGTTAATTTGCCGTTTACATCACGGGTTGACCCTAACCAACCATTGGGAGGTGTTTTATTCTAGCATGGGACTCCGCAAACAACTAACACCAGTTCGTGAAAAAAACCTAAAATTTAACAATATGCTTATCTTCCTATGCTAATAATAATAATTATGTGTTCATCAGTGATTAGCGTTAAAAGAAGTGTTGGAGTTCCCGTGAGAAGCTGTGACCATTGGAATTCTACCACGTTACAATCTGAACCATTGTATACCAGATCATTGGTTTGAAGGTTAGGGTCTCACTTTGAGGCTTGAAAGTCTTGTGTCCGATCCTTGCAACGGTTATTGATGCGTATTACTGAAGAGTTCCATACTAGTATAAAACAACTGTCCAGTCCTTTCTAGTTCCCATAGTTGTTTGGCTAATATCAATCCATAATATAAACTAGAAATTAAATTTCTTTTTATTATTATTAAACGATGTTTCTTTTGTTTGATTAGTTTATATTTTATTTTTGGTTTCAAATTTGCTTTATTTTTCAAAAAAAAAAAGAAATTCACTTGCATTAACCGACTTCTTAATCCATGAACGTATGCGTGTTTCTGTATCGGGTGTTAGCAATTATTGTTTATCCAATTGTGGTAAACTAATTATTTGTGCATCAAGTGAAATTTATAGTACTGAAGACAGTACATGTTTTGGAGTTAGTTATGTTTTTTTTCTATTGTGTATTAACAAGATGTTTATATATAGATATATCTGTTTAGATTTGGTTAATTGTTAATTTATAGTTTGCTCTGTATTGAAGTACACAGCTAATGCTACTTAATTAAAAGTGGTTTATTAGTCAAAGTGTTCGACTCTGGATCATTCAGTCATAGGTTGGAATGTTGTTCTAGTTACTTTTGCTGCTAAAGTTGGATATCATTAATAAACCTCATATAAACAGTAAACTAATAGGTTATGGATTAGATGAAAGCTTACAATATACAGAATATAGGTACTCAGTAATCGAGACACTTATTAGTTATATAATAAAAATACAAATCATAGTAATAATTTGAAAAAAAACCGGTTTCAACAGTTTCAGCTTTTACAATATTCATCCTATTGTAATACACTGGTGTTATTGTTATACGATATATATCTGTATATATGTTTCAGGTGAAGTTTAAGACTAGTCTCTCAGAACAATAGGCAACAAAACCCCGTAATATTTCCGCCTAGTTATTTTGCATGGTGAAATGTCGATTTGAAATAATGGCTGAAAATGTGAGGTTCAATGTTCCCATGAAATACAAGCTTTGTATGTTTGAAGCAAATATAGATTAACTCGTTACCATATTGTAGCACTGAGAGATGGAATTAATAAAATATATACCGAAAGCAGTCGTAATAATAGCAATATCAATTATAGCACAAAAAGAGGATGAGTACCACTCACCAAGCTAGATGATAATGATTGGGTATGCTCAACACATTCTAGCCACCCTAATCAAAGATTCACGATCGGATTTTCATATTTACGTAACATTATACATCTAGCGATTGTTTGCGTACACTATAAGACGAGTGATGATATCAAAGGAATTTCTGCATATCGGCAAATGAATTTTATTTAGGGTTTCGTTGTTCCGCTTCAGTTATTATCTTAGCTTATGTTTCTGATCAAGTATACTAAATGTGCTTATCAGAGTAAGATTTATAGTATACATTGAAAGTGATAAAGTGTAACATTAAGTAATGTAATATGTATTAATAAAATCTTTTAGGATTTCTCTATGTTTATATCTTAGATAAACAACGGTTAAAAATCAGGAAGGATTGGACAACTGTTTTGTTCTAGTATTGAACTCATTAACAGTTCCTATTCACGACTCTATCAAAGATCAAACTCAGGACATTTAGTCTTTCGACGAACACTTAATCTCTAGTCTATTGAATCGGCAATAATGATGTACATGCGTAACTTCGATAACTATTTCATAGCTGGCATGGTTGAATCCTACTATTCACAAGTTCTCATAAGAACTAAAATCGCCTCTGAAATCTAGTCACTGGTGATCATATGATTGTTATTAGTGTAATTTGTATAGTTTACATCATGAACTAATCTTACTTAGATATCCATTCAAGTAGATCAAAAAGCATTCTGAACAGTTGTTTTTATCCTAGAATGAGATTTCATTTATATTATGTCATATTTGGTTTCGAATAAATTTTTATAATTAATAAATGATCTATTCTAATCTCCAATAGGAACAACCTAATTCTTTGGAACTAATCAAAGCTCCATTGCCTAGTGCAATTCAACCAATTATGTGTCCATTCAATTCAGATTTTATTGTATGTTTATCAAATGAAAATATTTACATTGGTTATATACCAACAAATACATGGATACCAGTAACAAATCATACAAATAATAGTAAGTTTTATGAATTATTAAATAGGTAATATCAGAAGGAGTTTTGTGGATATTATACTAATTTCGAAGGTTGAGATCATGAGATTGTGGATGCGCATTGCTGAGGAGTTCCACAATAGGACGAAACAGCCGTCCAGTGCTTCCATGTTTTCCATAGTGGTATAGCTTCAACTGACTCATGATCTCAACCATTGAAATATTAAGTGTTTTTATGATTGACTTTCATCTATGAATTTATGTAAATTAGTTGTTAATTGGGAACTGTAAAGCATTGAATAATTATCAGTATAGGGTTATGGAGATTTTTAAGTTGTAATTAAGATCATAGATCGATCAATGTTAGACCACCATTAAGGTGAAGTGTTCGCATATGAAACCGAAGGTTCTTGATTTGGATCTCACGTGCGAGTTCTTGGATACGCATTACTGAGGAGTCCCATATTAGGATGAAACGGCCGTCCAGTGCTTTCACGTTTTCAATGGTTGTATAACGTTGGATAATTGTTTCAATTCAGTTTAGGATTAACTCTACAGTAATATATCCTGATTAACCTCATCAAGTGTTGAATTCAGGACCTTTAGTTATTGTACATTAAATAGATACAATTTTTGTTTACCAATTAGTTGGAATCCAATAATTATTCATATTGTCAAATTCAATTAATTCGCTATATTACTTGACGATTATCCAGTGTTTTTGATAATAACTTACACTCCTGACGTGATTGAATTCCATCTGTTACACAGCTCACTTTGATATATCTGAAATTTTGTCGCTTGACACCATAATATAACATGGTATCAAAATGTTATAGTTTCAATCTGTAGTTATTTTCCATTTCTTCATGTCCTTATATTGTGTAATTCTCATTTTAGGTGGTTTGTCTGCAGGTTTCCCACCATTCGTCGTCCAGGAAGAATTTGATCGATATGTTGGTTATTGGTGGAGACCAACGATGACCAATGGTAACATGATATGTTTGTTGCTTATTTACCAAAAAGGTTTACAAGATGCATGTGATCTGCAATACTGGTATTCTAACTACTATATGTTATATTCCGACGTCTTACTCGATGAATAACTCTATGCCTCTTAAATTAATTTAGAATACTATAGTATTCTAATTATAGTATGAACTAGGAATTCCAGGATTAACGCAATTGAATTAAGAAGACACAGGCACAAACGAATGTATTGTATTTAGAATTCGAAATCGAGCATTCAACAAGTACAAAGATATCATTAGTCCATTCAAACACCACATCCGCCACAGCTTAAATAGAAGTATAAGTGTTTGTAATCGGTTGTACGTCTTCTTGTTAAGTTCATCCTGAGTCTGTCCGACGTTGTATAAGATAAAAACTTTGTAGTATCTAGAAAGTGCTCATTAGTATTGGAATTAACAGACGAAATCGGAACAGACTCACCTGGAATTGTATACAATCAGCATATCGGTTTTGTACTGAAATCATTAATATCTAGAATTTGAACCATAGATTTTTCAACACTATCCTCCCCCACGAAATAATGTTGGATCTTTATATCCCCAAGTTATGAATAATGTGGCTTCATTTAAAACATATTTCTCACATTGTTTAGAGTAAACATTAGAACTGTTTTTGTGATAAGAGTAAACAACAGTTGATATGAAATCATCCGAAATGTAATAAAACTCGAGGTCACTTAGTACTCGTGCTTCGCATTGAGCAGGTTTTTCACAAGGATCAAATGCATTATGAGGATAGGTAATATATGATATGACATCAGGATCTGATTCTTCTGAAATATTCACATGAAATTCATTAGGACTGTCATTGCAGAGCGTAGGATCGTTAGAAAAATCAGCATCTATCCAAATCACATCAGGTTTTTGATCATGATTAGGTACATTTAACATATTTTCCTCAATATTGCAAGTAATTTCATTAGAAATATGTGAATCATTAGGAAAAGTCATACCTGGTACAATAGCATGAGAATTCTGATAAATCGGTTGATTAGGAACTGTTGTCTCACAAGAATTCTGGATTTCATCTAACTCTGAACTGCCATATGACTCTGCACTGTCTTTTGAAATCGTTGATAAAGATAAATGATCATCATGAATACTCGACTCAGTAGAATCAGAATTACAAGACTTAATATTAATTGCAGTAAGATGAACATTAGCATTAGAAACTGACTGAACTTGTCCAATATCACGACATTTGAAGCACTTAGAATTACGAAATTTACATGAATTAGAAGAGTGGAACTTGCGACAGGACAAATACTGACCAAACTTGTCCCCATCCTCGTGAACTGCATCCAAACTCAACGAATTGTCTGCATAATCTTGAGTATGAACTGGGTTGGGGTGACGTAATGTAGTGGACTTTTTTATATCCTCATGAATCATTTTACGAAATCTTCCTCCTTTACGATATTCGAAATTTGTATACTGAGCATAGTCTAGCAGCAGCTCCTTGAGAGCTGTATAAGAAAGCGAAATGGGCTTTTCCGGCATAGCCAGAGTTCTTAATAAGCTGTATGTTTCTTTTCCAATGAATGTGAGGAAGTGTGCCACAATATTAACATCCTCATCATCTTCCTTGGTCATAGCCCAGATCTCGAACCTTTCAAAGTAATCTTCAAAAGCTTCAGGAGTTGAATGAATATCCAACTTTTCCATTGCAGGTTCCATCACGACGCCAATATAGTATTCTAATTATCGTATGAACTAGGAATTCCAGGATTAACGCAATTGAATTAAGAAGACACAGGCACAAACGAATGTATTGTATTTAGAATTCGAAATCGAGCATTCAACAAGTACAAAGATATCATTAGTCCATTCAAACACCACAAATACTTAATACACCTCACTATTATTACTTTGTTCAAAAATTTAATTGGAATTTCTCTTTGAAAATAAAAACAACTTTTATTTTAAGTGGTTGAAGGTAGTCTGGATTCTTTTACTTGAAGTTTGTGCTGATGATGTTGTTCGGAAGAACAATGGAAGCTCCACGATCAAAGCATCCAGCTCAGAGAACAAAACTCCACCTAAACTATCTACCTGAACCACGGATCTTCACTATCTTAAAATCTGGATCCTACCCAGTCTCCACAAACGAGGAGTATTTGTACTCTTCTGGAAACTAATTCTCTCTGAGGAATCGAACCTCAGTCATCTGGTGTCACAATCTGAGATGTTCTTTTTCAGCAATTTGTGTTGCAAATGACATGTTAGGACTGATCACTGAGCAGTGATCAATATTATGTTTGTCTTGCCAACGACCTACAATCACCTAGCATCTCAACATAGGGCGCGCGTAATATCGGAGCACTTAGACTAGTGGGAGCTCTCTTGTAACTTGATCTATAGAACTCGATCAGCGCTAAAGAGCTAAACGAATATGGTTTTGTTTACTACTCTGTAAATAAATAATTGTATATGTCACCCAATTACAATTTCCAGTTAATGCTTGGCTAATTTTCATAGAAGTGTTATTTTAATCCCAAAACGTTTCAACGTTTCGAGCGTCATAGAAAGTTATTCTTACTACCCTTCTTCTGTCATGTAAAATAAAAGTCGTTCGTTTTTTTACTTCTCGTGTAGAGAACTGGAATCTATCTTGTGTGTTCTGATCGACTTGTTCCCATATTATATTTGCACTGTTAGAACATTTCTTTGCTATTCATTTATATGAAGATTTTTTCATACGATTAATATTAAAGCCATTATTTCATTTCTTTACATGGATCTGATCAATCGTTGGGCATTACATTGGAGTGTGTTGTTTAGTTAGTTCAAGCTAGTGCTATGAATTTTCTTCTTACAGCCCAGCTACTCTTATTGCTTTGTATTCTTTGACCATTACTTCACTCGACAGGGCGCCAAATCAGAACACGGTTAAACAGGAATGTAATTATATTCCAAATAAACAAAGTTGAATGAAAGTAGGGATCACAATAAGAAAAACGTTAGTATATTGATAGATTTTACGTAAGCAGATTCTAGAGTCTTCTCCAAGTACTGGATAGCGCTGATTGATTAAGAAATAGCCAGTCTCCATGTCAAACACAATCTTGGATGGAACATGCTTTAATCCAATCTATATCCTGCTAACAGCTACTTATCGAGTATGTGTTTACTTACTGGGATTCAAGTCAAACTATTTTATGTGAGAACTAGCGATGCTACTACTGCCTGCTACTTACTGCTTGATAGTTGGTTGTCCTAACCTGTATAAATGAAATAGGATTCGGATCTATGTATTTGTGCTTTATATCACTTTAGCCTAACATCCAAAGTGTTTTTCAGTCGACTTGAATACAATGGCTAAAATGTTTATACAAAGGAATTTTATTATTTGTAGGGTTAGTCTAATATGAATTTTGTCTGGTCATTATTTTGTGTTTTTTTATAGATCATTATTATCAGTTGTTATATGAAGAAGTGGATGAACGTAATGTGGCTGTGACGAGATTGTTTCATGGGGAATTTGGTGGTGGTTGGGAAAATCAACGTTATCCAATTGCAGGTAAATAAAAATTCCTTTGATAGGGCAACAATGATTTTGTTTCCTAACCCCAATATCAACTTGATCATTAGTAGTAGCTGACGCCTTTATTGAGATGGTCAATTTTAAAGGTGTCCATATCTTATTTCGTAAAATTATGTTGGTTTGATGTTGATCAGAGAAATAGTTGAGCAAACACTCCACAACAAAGGACAGGATTAGAAAGGATCGTTTGTGAAATTAGCACCGCTCACTTTGTTCTACAGATTTGTGTTTCTGTGGTGATGTCTTCAAAGCACTGGGTTAATACGTCAAAACTGCGTATAAAGAGCTCGTGTAAGACTGAACGCAAGTTGTTGTCCCATGTGATCTGCAGTCACCTACTCAGGTTGTTAAGACCTCTACTAACCCAGTCTTCTTTTTACTTTAGGAGTTGTCTTTCATTGGTCTGCACAACTGTGAAGTGGCAGCATCCTACTATACCTCAAACAACACTGACTGTCTACAATCTTGAGTTTTAATTTTGAATTCAGTTTAGTTCATAAAAAACAAAAAGATACATTGCTGTAATTGTAGACGGTAATTTGGTTAAAGTGTACTTTAGGGTTGAGCTAATCAGAGTCAAGACTACAGTTCTTTTGGTTTTTGCGTGAAATTCAAATAGCATGTATAACGAGCGACACAAATACGTTAGTTTACTGCTCATAACATTTAAAATGATAACAGAAAATTATTTTTCGCAACGATAACGTAAAAGTGACATTGTTAGACGTATTAAATGTTCAATTTTATCCCTGTCAATTGTATATAACAGGTAAATCGACATTATCCTTAAATCTTAACTTTTAACCCTTAATTCTGAAACAAACCTTAACATATTGGCACTAGTTTATGGATGAAGTGAGAAGATTCATTCATCCATATTGTGACAGAGCACTTTTGCATTATAACCGATGTCAGTTGGCAATGGAAAACCCTAATCATAAACCTTTAGTTCTATCCACAAAATACCCATTCCTAACTAGGAACAATAAAGGGAATCCTAAAAATATGTTTACATCCTTATTAGGGTTCAAAAAAAGTGGAGAATCTATGTCCACGAGGACAAGTTTATATGTCGTTGTTTTTTTTGTTTTGAATATACAGACAGAGTAACCTCACTGTAGGAGAGAATAATAGTTTTATTAATCATGTAAAATCTGTTTATACTTTGATATATGATTGTTTCCCTTTTCATAAATGACCCATTTACACGAAAGCTATTGCCTGTTGGTCTAGCAACTAACTGGAAATTTGTTGTGGTTGTTTCAACCTCTTCTCTATACTGTATTTTATATTGTATTTCCAAAGTTTACAATAATGAAACCATTATGAGAAAAATGGTTGTAGTTTTTTTACAATTTCCCTCATTTTTCATTGACGATAAATAGAGGTATGAAACAATTTTGAACTTTTTTTATATTCTCAGAGTTTAAGCTACGAACCGATCTTAGTTAGACCACCATTCAAAGCGTGAAATCACTGAGCACCTGTTTCGTCTCGGCATGGGACCCTTCAGCACTGCACATTCACAACCCTGCTTCGAGTGGTCGAACCCTGAACTTTCAGTCATGCGCGCGAACACAACCTCTAAACTACTGAGACGGCATCCAGTGACTTTAATATCTGGCTTCATTCATCTCACGATACTGTACAACCCTAACCGATTGTCTGCAGTGGATAATTGTCTCACACCTGATATGGTTGTACTTCATAGATTCCCACCATAACTCCAGAAGTTTTACATCTTGAAGCTAGTCACCAGTGATCACATTGCTGAAAAATTGTCAATAGATTGTCCAGTGTTCATTTGCTGTGTGTGTTTATTTAATTTTTTATTTCTTTCTGTTTTACTCAGGCACTGAAAATGCAAGTAGTAATTTGAAAATATGCCAGTTTAAACTGGATTCAATGGGTAAAGTGAGTATGACTGACTGTTTTTTTTGTTCAGCTAACTATAGATGAATGAGTTTTTGTCAAGTAACTATTATTATTATTATTATTTGTTAAACGTTCATTATAATTAGACTTACACTCTGAAGACTGTCTTGTCATTGAATTGCAATAGTTAGAAAGCCTATCCTTTGAAATGGATTGGTTTCATCCATCAATCGTTTATTTTTTATTTAGTTAATCATCATATAGAGGGTTAAATGAAGATTTATCGCTTGGGTGAATGCTTTTGATGATCAGAGGATATTTCATCCTTTTATCTAGATGATTAAACTATACAGCTTTTATTGTCATTTCTGATGATACGATAAGCGTCAACTCGAAATTAAAATAGGACACGTTCTCATGAATTTGTTAGCATACCGGCCTCCCAATGTTCAATGTATATGGAATATCTAGCGTTTTCACATTCATTAATTGAGTGGATCCTGCATAAAAGAGTGTGATTTTCACTGAGGACTTCATTTCAAGTTCTAACTTTTACTTTATTTGTTTTTTTCATCTGGCCAGTTGGGATACACGCTACAGTAGACATGTGTATATTCCTTTAAATGATTAGACGGAAGACCTCAGTGAAATTTATACTTTAATATACAGTACGTGCCCGCTAAATGGACGGAAAAATGTTCGGAAACTCTAGATGTTACACTTCTGTTAAACATACACTTGTGGACGATTTTCTTCATTTTGAGGATTCGGGGAAGTAGATTCAGAAATTATTACGGAAGCTCTTTCTCTGTCCTAAGTTAATACTTACCTTCTCAAATTCTTAGGCGAAACATTAAATATTCAACGAATGTAGTTGAAAAGTCTTTTTAGCTACTTATTGTTATTACTTTAAACTGCTTACAAACCTGTGAAAAGTCATAAAATAGACTAATCGATTTTATAATGTTGCTTAATCATCTTCCAGTGCTATTGGTGGATAACATTTGTCTTACATCGGATACATTTTCGAATTCGATTGATCGCTACTTCTTATTAGAACTTTAGGAAATTCAACGATCAGTCTTATTGTTTCTTGCTTATTTTTTCAACGTTATCAACAAATGAATCAAAGTTTTCTGTAAAAAAAAGGTTCCTATCTCTTTATACTTTCATTTATCAGATCTCCAATGTACAAACTCTTGCACTACGTTCACCTTTAAAACAATACTTACCGAATTTTGAATATTTAGTTCGTGCTGGTTGGACACCAGATGGGAATTAGTAAGTAATTTTAGTAACCTGTCTGTATTATTAGATAACAATTAGATTTATATAAAGAGGATTCATTTAGTTATGTATGTAGACAGAACAACACTATGGAAGCCTCTTCATCACTACGGCGTGCCTCAGAAGATAGTCAATATCATACAGAATTCCTATGATGGATTAAACTGCAAAATTGTGCATGGAGGACAGTTGACAAACTCGTTCGAAGTAAAGACCGGTGTCAGGCAAGGTTGCTTACTCTCACGCTTTCTCTTTCTCCTGGTGATCGACTGCATCATGAAGATGCCAACATCTGAAGGGAAGCACGGGATACAGTGGACAGCTAGAATGCAGCTGGACGATCTAGACTTCGCAGATGATCTGGCCGTTGTATCGCACACGCAACAACAAATGCAGGAGAAGATGAACAGTGTAGCAGCAGCCTCAGCAACAGTAGGTCTCAATATACACAAAGGTAAAAGCAAGATTCTCCGATGTAGCACAACACTCATCAGTCAAAACACACTTGATGGAGAAGATTTGGAAGATGTAAAAGCCTTTACATATCTGGGCAGCATCATTGATGAACATGGTGGATCTGATGCAGATGTGAAAGCGCGGATCGCCAAAGCAAGAACAGCATATCTAAAATTGAAGAACATCTGCAACTCAAAACAACTGTCTGTCAGCCAACACCAAGATCAGAATTTTCAATACAAATGTCAAGACAGTTCTACTGTGTGGGGCGGGAACCAGGAGAACTGCGAAACCCATGATGCATAAGATACAGGTGTTTATTAACAGTTGTCTACACAAAATACTTCGGATCCTTTGGCCAGACACCATTAGCAACAACCTACTGTGGGAGAGGACAAACCAGATCCCAGTGGAGGAAGAAATCAGGAAGTGGATAGGACACACATTGAAGAGAGCACCAAACTGCGTCACAAGGCAAGCCCTCACTAGGAGTCCTCAAGGCCAAAAGAAAAGAGGAAGACCAAAGAACACATTACTCCGGGAAATGGAAATAGACATGAGAAAAATGAACAAGAATTGGATGGAACTAGAAAAGAAGGCCCAGTACAGAGCAGGTTGGAGAATGCTGGTCGGCGGCCTATGCTACATTAGGAGTAACAGGCGTAAGTAAGTAAGTAAGTAAGTAAGTTTTTTTTCTAATAAAGTTAAGCGGGGAAGTTTTGGTTGAAATTCCGCAGTGATTATTGTTCTTGATTGTTTATATCATGGACAGACCTTTGTTACTACTTACCGCGTATCGATATCAAGAAATTCAAGTCAGGCGCATACTTTTTTATATCACTGAGTCAACACCGAATGATTCAAATTCCTAACTAATAAATTCATCATATCATCATATTACCGGGGGGTCCTATACTAAAATGAAATAGCTTTTGAATGCTTTCAATGGTTGTCTGACTAAGGTGTCTATCCCTAATGTACGACCTTATATTTCTCTCCTTTAGTGGGGAGATTCTACCGAACTACTTTGTCGTAAAGGATATGTTGATCACAGTAGAGAAAGAAAGAGAGAGAGAAAGTTAAAGGAGATGTCTAGTGTTCTAATCAGGTTGGTGTAATTAATCGTTTATCACAGAAGTTTGGATATTCCATAGGTTTTAACTACAGTGGTAGCCTAATTTTGAAAGGTATTCTGGTGATGTACACAAATTATATATTTCAGTTAAAAGCTTGTAGGGAGGTGGGCTCTGTTTCAACTAAGCCTGAACTTTTTACGGTAGACAATTTTATATGTGGTGATCTATATTAATCCTTACAATTTATTGATATCATATCAATAGTTTTCATTTATTCACTACTCAATTAAAAAATATGTTCATAAGGAAATAATCTTTCTAGGTATCAACCACTGCCAGGGAAGTCCTACTCACTGCCTTCTTTTGGTGGGGGTGTTGTTTACGAATTTGAGAGGACGAAAAGCGAATGTCCGGCTATTTAACCGGCTTAGTAGATACAGACGATTCACCTAGGATAGTTGGAAAACCCTGATTCCAAACCAATGGTGGACATAGGTTCCAGTATCTTGAAGGAACAAATGGCATATGAACCAAATGTTGGCCACCAGCTACCATGGGACTGCATCTCCTTGCGACGCTCCACTCCCTGTTGGATCAGACCTTCAGGTCGAAGGCTCCGGGTGTGGCCTTCTAAGAAAACCACCTTCGGTTTGGGCGCTCGGGCAGTGCCACAGCCCTCACACATATCAAAGGAGACCTGTGTGGCGCATATGTATTTGGTGCCTACTTGTACCAATGCTTATGTGTTTAAATAAATAAATAAGGTATCAAATCCAAGGTTGGGCTTGATTGTTTCAAATTAATTGAGCATTGGATAGAGAGTTAATAATAAGAATATATTCTAATGAATAGAAAAATTGTGTTTCAAACGTTTGAAATAATTTTTCGTTTTCTTTATCGTTTTTGGTTTCTAAACTTAAAGAATCTTCTTCCAAATGTTTTATTCTAAATGAAAGTAGTTAGTAAATTACTAATTGAATGAATTCATTCACTGGATACTTTAATATATGTCAAACTTTAAGTATGAGGTCTAATGATGCTATCTGGTTGTCCTAGGTGAAATAGTGGGTGTAGGATTTTAATTAGGGACTCAAGAAATGAAATTAACTCATTGTTTTATAGTTATCATTTCAATTAAATGAATTAAACTTCATCTGATCGTGTAAGTCAGTGATTACCTGTATTCAGTAGTCAAGTAGATAACGCGTTGATGTTTGGAGCGACTGATACTTAGTTCGAGTCCTGGAGTCAATCAACTCACTATGGGATGTATATATGTGCAGATGATGAGTCTCAAATTGGACTAAGCATGCATCCTGGATTCCTTCACTTACCACTTTTCATCTCTACTTAAAACCATGATTAAAGCCATTAGAACAAAATAACTTAATACTTGTAAAGTAACTAAATGGCTCACTTCTCTACATAAAGTAGGCGCGGATGATTTTCAGAATGACATTATAAGGCTTCTGAATATTTAAACCATCTATAGCTCAGACAACGAAATAGATAAATATCATGGATTTAGTAAGTGTGTATGGTTTATTGTTTCAATATACTTTCACAAAATGAGGTAAATAATCTTATGCAATAAAATGAAATTAACTGGAGAGATAGATAGTCATTTGTAACATGAATGATTTCACTGTATTAAAAGTCTCAAGATGAAAATACTAAGATTTGCTAATGTTATTCTGTCTGATAAGTTTCAGAGAAGATGATGTGATGCTTGTATTGAATAGTTAACTGTTAGTCATGAGCCAAATTCAATGTAACCTCCCTTAAAAATACGCTTTAAAGAAGAAAAAAAGTACGCAGAAATGGACATTACTCATTGTCGATTATAGGTAATATGAATGCTGTAAACAATATCAGTTGTACAGTGTTCTTTTAATTAGAATCGGTTTGTTTTTGAAAAGAAGAACTCATTAAGTTCTTGTTGTTTTCTTATCTCTTACAAATTATTTGTTTTCTTTTATGTATTTCATTTCTAGTGTTTGGTGTCAACTGATCACTCGCCTACAACAACATCTTTCACTCATATTAATTCCAGTTGATAATTTCTTACCTATCTCTGATGTTGTTAATCATCCCGATCCATCATCATCATCATCGTCGTCGTTTTCATCGGCAATATCCACATTAACAGATTATTCGTCTTCATTCTTCACTTCACCATGTATAGAATTAGTGACTGAAGTAGAGTCGAAATTTTGGGTTAAGGTATATAGAGTTGTATTTTCGATAGGAAAAATTACTTAAAAGAGATTTCTTACATTTTTATGTGTAACAAATTTTAGTAATCATAAAAGAATCGGGAATTGGATTGCTAATTAGTGCCAGTTAGTTAATTCTTTGTTTGATTTAATGTAGTTGATTGATCAAAGTACAAATTTGCGTTTCATTCGACTTTAAACCATACTTGTTTTTTTGTGCAATTAACATTTGATGAAGTTTAATTTAGATTGTGGGTGAGATGATACTGATCACCTGGAAGCGTATCTGCAGAGTCCAATCGTCAATTATCTGTGATCAGTCTGTCACATATGCCCTTTATTGTGTTTATTTCTTGATGTGCTAGCGCTGTACTTTAAAAGCCTTATTTTCCTCAATGGAAATTGGTGAGGCTATGGGAAAGGTGTGTTACATATGCGGTTGACCTTTACTAACCCGTTCCTGTCGTTGTCAAAATGCGGTGTCACTACAAATGCTGATTGTCTGTGGCAAACACCTTACTGTCGTAAACACCCCCAAATGTCCTGGTACGGCCGAAAGTGGGGAGAGTTCGCTCTCTCTCTCTCTCTCAAAATGCTCTCACATGGTCACGCGTATATAGCCTCTGCAAGGGAAGTCTTCTCGTGGCGGGGGTGTTGTTTATGGAATTGAGAGGGTGAAAAGCGAATGTCCGGCGCTTTAGCCGGGTTGGTGGACACAGAGGATCCACCTAGAGGAGTTGGAAAACCTTGATTCCAAACCAATGGTACACATAGGCTCCATGATCCTGACGGAACAAATGGCGTATGAACCGATCGTTGGTCACCGGCTATCATGAGACTGCATCTCCTGACGTTGCTTCACTGCCTTGTCGATCAGACCTTTCGATCAAAGGCTTCGGGTGTGGCCCCCTAAGAAAATAATCTATTTCGGTTTGGACACCCGAACAGTATCCCAGCCCTTACATAAATCTAATGATTTATGCGGCCCAATGTATCTGGTGCCCCCTGTACTGTCGTAAACGGTTTTCTATCAGTTTATAGGCTAATTGTTTCATATGAAGTGGAAAGTGTTTGTAATTATTGTGGTAAATAGTTTCGTAATCATAATGCTTACTATCTCATCCCTAAACAATAACACCGGCAGAAATTTCATGAAAAATGAAAAATAATTGTATTGGTGAGTTTTTTTTCTTTAAATTATCAAAGGTATGATTGATTTTGTATGTGTTTCTAAACGTCATATTATCACCAATGTAGTAGTGTATGTTATAGTTTCAATCATCTGATTTATAACGTGGTAATTATTTTCTTTTCTAAAGGTAGTTGTCGATTAGTTGATGAATCATTTTTATGTAGTATATTCTGTCCTGCCCCATAACAGCCATGTCCTCTTTCAATCCATTACTCAATAATCACATAGAGGTACTGGTACTCGACTTTAAAGTACACATTATATGAGCACCAGTGTTAATAACTGCTTAACTGTTGAAACCAAACTAAATGAAATGGGGTAGGAAACTGTCGTTCGATGGCTAGTCTACCTCAGTATGTTTACGTTAGGTAATTGTATGAAGTTGGTAAGAAATGCTAGACTTAACTTTCGTGCTAGTTTTCACTCGTTAGCAAGATGTTCACTAAACCTAATTCCAAAATACCCTGGTAAGACCGAGGGGGTGAAAGAATAGTTCACTCTCTTTCCCTAAGTGCTCTCTTATGATTACGCCCATATAACCGCTGATAGAGAACTCCTACTGCCTTCTCGAATCGAAGTGTTGTTTACGAAATTAAGAGGAGGAGAAGTGAATATTTGGCACTTAATCCGGGTTGGTGGAAACGGTGGATTCACCAAGAGGTGGTTGGGTTTGATCATCGTGGTTACCCTATCAAACTGTATTGACGTAACGCTTGTCCCTCTAGGTACTACTGTGGTGAGTGCTACTTATATCGACATGAGTAGTATGGAACGCTAGTCAAGATTAGAATCTCTGGCAGCAGAAGGTCGAGAAGGAAAGAACGGGAACAGAAGGAAATTGGTATAGAAGTGCAGGAACAATGAAATCTGATATGATTGACTGGTATTTGCAGAAGTAACAGTCAGTTGATTGATATTTTGCAAATTAAGCATTTACTGTATGGTTCTCAAATTTTACTAAGGTGTGCTGTAATTTTATGTTCAAATATATTTGATAGTCCTCACTACACTACCATGCTTGGTAAATTAGCTTGAGGATGGAAAAACTGGGAGTAGCAAAGTTGTGCTGCCGACCGTCCAAGAGTGGGACAGTAGTAAGTATGTTACCTCAAACAACTAGCATCTACAGCAATGGTGTCTTCTCAAAACGGAGCCAAAGGCTTATAAAAGGTCGACTCTAAGAAGAATACACCTCTCTTTACTCTACAGATCTCCGGCGATAAAACCTTTAAAAATATGAATCTAACACATTTAAAACTTACTACAAAAAGACTGTGACCGGGCCTAAGCAGTTGTCTCATAATCTACAGTCGTCACGTTCTCAGGTCACTAATACCACCATCCATCTATTTTCTTTTCCAGTTCTTGCAAGAGGAAAAAATCCTTCCACTTTACAGACAACTAAACAGTCACGACTACCATCCATAATTAATACTTTATAAAAAAATGTTTTTATTCCTTCAAATCGTGTTAAGTGACTATGTTAACAAGTGTTGTTCCATTTTTTGCAAAATTTGCAAAATTACTGTTCTAGGTTCATGACGTTTTAACCTTTCTGAAATATCCATGGCATTCAACAAGTGGAATGAACAAATCATCAGATTTTACAAATGAAAATTCTTGTACATTTATTTGGGCTTCACATAGATCTGGTTTTACACATTTATATCTTATACAATGTTCATGGCCTAAAACTTCAAGTAATAATAACAATAATGGTAATACTTTTACACATGAACAAACTGCAACCGTTATCCAAGCTAAACAAGTTTTTGTTGATCAGTTAACCGATGGTGATTGGGAGGTTACTGGGAATCAGGTATTTCTAAATTCTCTATAAAATGTTTTGTAAATTAATTACTTTCATTTATGAAATTTGTCTTATATTTTATCTTTTAATTTCAGATAGTTACATATGACTTACATGTACTAACTAGCATGATAACTAAGTTAAGCCGAACTATCTACAATCATTTACCATTTCAACATAGTACACATAATGTTGAATCATTTAGTTTAGATGTACCACCAATTCCAACGCCTTCAGTTAGATTCGAAAAGCAGACCTATCTTTTTTCAGGAGGGAAAGGTAGATACAATAGGCCAGTCAAAAATTTCCAAAGGATAAGTTGGCGTCATTGGTCAAGAAGTGACGTTTTTTTCTAGGAAATGAGACATAAACCAATGATAGGCTTAATATGAGTATGCAAACATATAATTCGGTTTAACCAAGTAAACTTTCTCCTTCACCCTCCAACTTTCCGCTCGAGATTGTTTATAGAAACTCTCAGACACTGTACATCACTACAAAACTAGTGACCATATTGTGACATAATCGATAGAGCTCGATCAACGCTAAAACGGACTCGATAAACATGCTGTTTACTCAGTAATCAATCAATAGTACGTTTTCTTACTTATTTTTAACACTTGAGAATTGAATGAATTTCAGTTGGTATTTAGTTAATAACTTGTTAGTTGAATAGCTTTTTATCATTATTCTTCAGTACTCCAATTCAACTCAGGTTTTCTGATCATTTTCTTGACCACAACTACACTAATATGGTCAATACTAAGAAATACAATGATAAAGATCGAGTGAAGATTGAAATATTTAAATATCTTGTTAAGATTATTGAGATATTGTACAAAATAATGCTTTCGTTATTTCTTTATAATTGCGGATATCTATTGTAGTGAAATAGTAGTAATTCCAACTCTTCTTTAGTCAAGAATAATCAAGCCATGATATTTTAGCTAAACAGATTGACGTCATCATTATAGAGCTTGGAAAAGATGTGGTTGGTCCCAGTTACCATACCCGGCTACCACTATGTGATGTAAATAAACATAAAAGAGGTCAAAATAATGTATTAGGAATGATAAAAAGATTGGCCAGTCTTTGCAAACATAGTTTGAGTCAAAAGATTGGAAAGGTATGTTTTGAGAAGAATACTGAACTTCAAGATCGAGGTAAAGCGAAAAAGTGAATGCCTACGGAATGAAAATGGATTATTGCATCAGGGTTATCAATTCATGGAATTATTAAGTGTTCGACAGACTCTATATTATTCTCTGGTTGATTATATTATCTAAAAGCCTTGGGGTGCTTTTTTATTCCTTGTCAAGAATTGTTGATTATCTAGAAATTTCAAACGTGTACGAGAAACGTCTATTCGTTTGTGTTCCGGTTTCTCAATGTTTATCAAACTTCATTTGCAGTTCCATGATGAAATTTATTAAATCTTTATATCATTCCTAGTAAGGGTTCGAATTATCCGGTTATTGATATGCAAGATTGAATTTTGATTAATCTTTGTTGGGAAAGATATACATCTTGTTCGAATTGCTTCATCATAACCAGCTTTTTTGAACACATTGGACAAAACCCTTGTCCAGGATTCCACTGCAAATCACAGTTCATTTGTTTGAAAGAGAAAGTGACAAATTATGTGTACCGAGAGAATCCGCATGGGATCCACACATGTACCAACAAGGATTGATCAAGATTCTGCCCTATGTACCAACATTGGAATGATTTCAAACTCTTACCAATAATGTTATGAACATCAGACCCCTTGAATAAATTAGTGGCTGTCTGGATTCGGCAATACAGTAGACAGTGCGTTGGTGTTTGAAGTAAAAATATTGCGTTCGAGTCTCATTACAAGTAACAAACTGGAATAAAAGGACATCAAACTGATGAGCTCCAAATAAAATGATATACCAGTCATAAATTCCAGTGCTAGTTTTGGTTCACTGTATTACATCTTCTATTTGCATTCTGGGTACAAATAAGTAAACGTCAGTATAGGGTTGTGAAGATCATTGAATTCCATTGAAATCATGAACTGATCTAAGTTAGGCCGTTATTGAAAACTTGAAAACACTAGAAGTCCATTTCGTTTTAGCACGGGACTTCTCAGCGGTGCGTATCCATGATTCCAAATACAGGGCTCGATACCAGGACCTTCGGTGTGAGGCAGTTACCCTTTTAAAGCAATTGAAGATGGTTGTGCAATATCGTGGATTGGTTGAAGTTAGGGATTAACACCGTTGAATGTTGGCTCAGTAATTTAGAGGTTAAATGTTCGTGCACGAAACCGAAGGTCCTGTGTTTGAGTCTTGCGTGAGGGGTGGCGGAATCGCACCCGTGAAGAATCTCATATTGTGATAAGATGGCCGTCCTATGCTTCCAAGTTTTCAATGGTGATTTAATGTTTATCGGTTCGTAATCTCAACAGAATAAATAAACATTCACGTATATACATGTTTTATTTGTGAAGTTTCTATTCCTAAACCTACCACTTTTTCCTCATAGATTTGGCTGGATGAAGATAATAAATTTGTTTACTTTGAAGGATTTAGAGAACATCCTCTTTTGAAACACATGTAAGTAAGTTTTTGTTCAAGTATTCTGCTTATTAATTGTTATAATAATAATTGTCAATGTTCGATGCTGAAAAATTGAATTTTTAGATATTATTATGAATAAATGTTTGAATTATTCCTTTATTTGATAATTCTGAGGCGAAAGATAATGGGTTCAAGTCCCTTAGTGAACATCAATTCTGGGATTGTAGGTTTGTCTGTGGTGTATGCTACTTATATCTATCGACATAAATAGTATGTAACATCAATCGGAGGTGGAAAACCTGGCAGCAGAAAGCTAAGAAAATCGAGCTGTAGAGAATGGAAGCGAAAATATAAAGGAATTGTGAACTGGAAGAATCATACAGAATATGAGGGGCAAATGATGGAAATTTGCAAATGAATTATTCTTTTTGATTGAGATTGTGAACCGATTGATGTTAGACCACCACTAAAAACCTGGAAGCACTCGATTGCCGTTTCGTCTTAGTATGGAACTCCTCAGCAGTGCGCATCCATGATCTTACTTGCGCGACTCGAACCTAGGGCCTTCAGTCTCGCCCGCGAATGCTTAACCTCTAGACCACTGAGCCGTCATCCAACAGTGTTAACATTTAACCTCAACCAATCCGCGAATGAATCCATGAATGAATAATTCAATGTATTCTCATATTTTACCAAGACATTCTGTAGGTTCGTGTTCATCTGCAATCGGTTGCCACCACCTGTATTCTCGTTCACTACATGTCCCTCTGCCAAGTCGGAAATAGGGATGTAGCATGGATCGTTGCTTCTTCTATTGGCCACAATCTGTCTATTGTATGCATAAACGCCTAAGTATTTGGTAAACGTATAACCAATTTCATATCTTTCTCTATTTTACCTTAATCCCTTTCTTATCCTAAATTTATGTAGATATTCCGTAAGTTATGGAAATCAAAGTGATCGAGGTCCATTAAATTGTTTAACGTTAAACCTTCCAATCGACAACAATGATACTCATGTTATGAAATCCATTCAAAATGCACACAATTCATCATCATCATCGTTATCAATGAATTCTAATATTGAATGTACATTGGATCCATTGTTTCATGATTCGTGTTTATTAATGAAACCATATCCATTGTCTTATGAATTGAATACATTCAATATTGAATCTGGTATTATGATCCTAGAATCAAGCAGTTTAGATAAACTTGTTGGCATTCAAATTTGTCAAGTTATTATTGAGAATAATGAAAATAATACAAATAATTCTACCAGTATTACTGTAAATAAACATCGTAAACCAATTCTACAACATATAGCATGGCTTCGTAAACATGGTAAGAAATTTTGATTGTACAAGGATTCAAACTTAGTAACAACCTTTAAAGTTATTATCTTCCATGTATTTTCCTCTGAAATCTGATTATAATCACTTTGTATTTGAATTCTACGATTTGTAACACTATTACTGTATCGTGTGGTGGCGGATTGTACAAGTTTTTAAGATTCAGGTGCTTGTTTTGTCCCTGTTACAACCGAATATACTCTTTAAAGTTGATTAGTTGCTGAATCATAAGCGACCAATATCATACTTATCAAGTTGTTTTTAATGCTGATGGAACTCTACTGATCAAGTTGCAATGGGGTCACAAGTCCAAGTGACTTGAAATTACCTACATTCTGATGAGATATTAGATTGTTGGAGATAGTCGACATGGAACTCTGCATTCATCTAGGTTTTGTGTTATTTAGTATACATTAGCACTAAAAAGAAGTTGATAAACAAGACATTGGTCACTACTCAATAATCAGTCAATTGTAAGTATAATCCAGTCCTGCAGAAGGTTATTTGCGGCTCGAAGGGTGTCTTTGACGGAAAACTGGATGACGAAAAACCGAGTTCGCTAGGAAGTATCGTTTCTTGTAATATTATAGGTACAACTTGTTTACAAGCGGCATCTAGGATGAAACTTAAATCAGTCAGGGTTTCTTATCGACCACCTCCTACCAACCAAAATTTCCGTGTATCTCACACAATGTCTCGTCACTCTGACTAGTGGCAACATCGCAACTTGGTCAGCATGTAAAAGGATTTGCTAAAGATTTCATAAGTTGCTACTCAATTCTCAGTCAATTATAAATCCTTGTCTTTCAACTATTTACAAATAACAAGAAATCTAGGTAGAGCAGGTCAGTCAGCCAGCTAAAACGTAGGACCAGACACATATGCATCGGTCCATGCTGCCATACCTCATTAACACAACAAGATGAACACCATATTCATAAAAGCGGTTACTTCAATGGTGGTAATATAAAAGAAAGGTTGCATATAATGATATAATACAGGTAGAAGGAATTAGTTTGTAGAAAGAAAGATATAAAGCAATTTTAATCTCACAGTTTAGAGAAAGACAAAGTGCGTATACACTTACTTCATTGTGATCGATTCAAAGCCATGTCACTCAGAGTCTCCAACCACTAGTTACGATATTCACGCGGACCCCAATCAATTAGTCTGCATCTACCAACATGGCTCAGACTGGAAGTTAGTGACTTCAAGCACTGATGCCTCGTTTTGGTTTGGCCGCCCCTGACTTTTTTCCAACCATCTTCAACACTAGTCAGCATTGTGCATCGTGGTAATCGGTGGTCGGGCATGCGTGATACGCGGCACCACAGATCTTGGAAGAATACTTCGCTTTGGAGTCCCTGAACATTAATGTAAACTAGGAATAGTTTGAGTTCCTGGGCGCTTGACGGCAGAGCCTAAGGGACAACTACTAGGTTCGTTATGAGGAGAAACCATCGCTGCAGATACTGGTTTCCTGAAACAAACACTTTACTGTTGTCACACCACTGTACAGTCGGCAGCATGACTTTACTGTCGGATTTTTCACTCTCTTCCTTCAGTTTTCCCGTTGTTCAGCTAACCTACCTAGCATGTTAGTACCTGAAGGAACAAGCGCTCCCGCCAATACAGTTTGATAGAGTAACGATGATGAGTAAGCCCGATCACAACTTTTAGGTGGCCGCTACAATCGTAGCATCTTCAACGATTTCAGAGTATTTAGTCATTTTGTTCTAACAATCATTCAGGCTAAGTGGTTAATCTTTTCTGTAAAGAATAATAAGTTTTAATGAGGCGGTAATTTATCATGTTTTCAGTAATCTAAAAAACACATTTGACTGTATTTATTATTATTTATTTTATTTGAACACATAAATATTGGTACAAGAGAGCGCCAATATATATGCGCCACACAAAACAATGGGAATTCGAAGAGAAGTAGAAAGAAAAAAAAAACTAAGGAACGCAAAAGAAAAAGAGAGTAATGACGAAGAGGTACAATCAGAAGAAATCTTTCAGGTAAAGGAGACACAACCACTTTTTATGAAGAAAGTAAAAGAAGGTTACAGCAGGATCGCCACTGGCTTCTATTCTGAGCCATATCTGATAACGTCTTTAGCCACTGTGTTGCACCATCTCTCGGACCCCAGCCAGGGAGTCGTGAAGGACCAACACAAGCCAGTCCTTTGCAGCTTTCTTTCATGCCACGACACCATGTCATGCACTGACCACCTCTCCGCTTCTTCCAACCAGTCCCAGAGTCGGCAAATAATGCACGACGTGGAATTCTCTGGGACGACATTCGGAGAACATGTCCAAGCCACCGAAGTCGGTGTTTCAAGATGGTGACACCAATTGAGTTATCATCTCTGTGCCCGAACACACGATGCCGAACCTCTGCATTACTGACATGGTGTTGCCACTGAATGTCAGCAATCCTTCGGAGACAGCGATGATCAAACACAGAGAGTCGTCTAACGTCCTCAACTCGGAGAGGCCAGGTTTCACAAGCATAGAGCAAAACTGCTCTCACCGACGCGTTGTAGATCCGGCCTTTTACAGCCAGACTGACATCACGAAGGCGCCAAAGGTGGCCCAGATTGGCATAAGCCGCTCTGGCTTTCACTATTCGTGCATTGATCTCATCACTCACACCCCCACCAGCACTTATGCAGCTACCCAGATACACGAACTTCTCAACTACGTCTATCTGCTCACCATCCAGGGTGAGTACAGGATTGGGATCCTGCCAGTCTTGTAGAAGTACTTTGCACTTCGAAGGTGCAAAGCACATACCATACCTACGGACATTGATTGCCAACTGATTAAGTGCGGATTGCATGCCTTGGGCATTATCGCACAGTAAGACAATATCGTCCGCATACTCAAGGTCGAGAAGTCTTTCTCCAGGCAACAGATCCACACCACCATTACTTACATTCATCAGAGCTGTTTCCAGAATGTCATCGATGGCAAAGTTGAAGAGGAATGGTGAGATTGGGCAACCCTGCCTAACCCCACTGCTCGAATGGAACAATGGAGAGAGGTGGTTGTATGCCCTCACTCTGCCTGAGGTGTTTTTATACAGGGCTTTTAGGATGTTAATAAACTTCTCAGGCACACCCTTCTTCAATAGACAATCCCAGAGAACAGTCCTATCCAACGAATCGAAGGCAGCCCTGATGTCAAGAAACACTACGATTGTATTTACCCTTAAGTTTTTTTTTAAAAATTCAATGATGTTAATCTGATTTCTGATTTAATGCCACACACGTTTCACAGATTAAATAGATGAAAATGGTAGCACGTAGTGTGAACTTTATAAATAATTAATGTTGTATTCATTGTTTTGTTGTTCGTTCTCAAACTTTTTTTAGTTCTTGGGCCACTTTTTCGAGCTATGAACGACTTGAATTTGATAACCTGGGTATTATCATCCACTAAGTGACATAATTGATGTGACTTAGTTATGAATTCAGATTGGATTGCGTTGAACGAGTTTTAATTCGTTAAAACATATAGACATAGAATACCGATTAATCTAACTTAGTTATGGCTGCCCACAAGATGGAATTGTCAATTCGAGCTTCTGAATGAGCTGATATCAAAGGTTGTGACCACTAGATAGAAGAATAGGTTTGGTATCTTATAAAATAATTTGCTAATATACAAATGTTTAGCAGTAAAATAACACGATCAGAAGTCATAGACTATTAGAGGATATCATCTTTGTAGTTGCTGTTCATTAAATTAGGATCTGATTCGTAGGCTTAATTCTCCCGAAGATGACGTAAATCATCTACTAAGTACAAATTCCTATTCAGTTTTGAGTCACACTGTGTGTGTAGATTCACAGTTTTACTTATCTAATATTCCGCATATCTCGTAATGTTTATGATAAATTCACCCTGGAATTTTTTTTTCTTCTTTTTTTATATCAACAATAAACTAACTCAATAGTATGGCATTATAATGCATTCAATGGATTCTATCCAACTAATCCTCCGTTAGTTCTTCGATGTGATATATTTAATAATTTAGATCGAATGCTCACATTACAAAATAATAATAATGATGAATGTATAAATGATCATATAAGTAGTAGTATTAGTGTTACATACTCATCAAATTATATTGAGTTTAGCAATTCACAATCAATATTATATGGCCAGTTATTTGTGCCAAATTGTAATCATAGTCGACTGTTACCTGTATCATCGGTCGATGGTGTTAGTGTTGCTGGTTATCCAACTTTGCATTTTGTTTATGGTGGTCCAGGTATTCAACTTGTTCGTGGCAGTTATTCAAGATCTGTGTAAGTCTTGGTTTTTAGTCGTTTATATAATGGTTAATTGAAAACTTAATATACATAAATTCTAGTACAACTAGTCATCAGAAGTATGGGCTACTCAAATGAAGTGATAGTATTGTGAAAAAATAGAGGAGTACTTAAATGTACATGGGATTACTTAATTTCCGTTAATACTGCTTAGTGTCAGTATTGAGCTGTGAAGGTTGTTGAATTTCATTCAGACTACGAATCGATCCAAGTTAGACAGCCATTGGATGTCTGGAAACACGGAATGACTATTTCTCCTTAGTATGGGACTATCCAATAGTGCTCATCCATAACCTCGCAACCGAAATTATTTTATTTTATTTTATTTGAACAACCGGAAATCAAACTCCGAACCTTAAGTTTCAACGCCGAATGCTTACTGTCTATACCGTTGGGCCAGGATCTCATGATGTACAAATCTAACTGCAATCAACCCATGATATTGCACAACCACTTTCCATTGTCTTCGCAGGGTATCTTCTGATATAGTGAGCCAATCGGAAGTATCCAAGTGAGACGGTCGCTTGATGACGATCAGAAATAACCTGAAGGACAACTGCATATCATTTGCTAAGGAATGGATTGATTTTCTGAGGTTTAGAAATGTTGTATATATGAATTGGTATTTATGTATTTTATTCGGTAGTTCAATAGACTTATGCTGTAAAAGTATCTGGGGTGACATTTGGAAAATATATCCAAGTCACTGAAGCCGACGTTTGAAAATAGTGGCATCAAATATTACTCAGGATTTTACAACGGAAAGATTTAAATGTTAATTCGTTCATCTCAACACGATCTCTTCGGAATTATAATGGTGGTTGACATATAAGCAAAGATGGGTATTGACCAGCAGTGGAATCCAGGAAGCGCGTTTCGTCCTATTTGTATGTACCTGCATCTCAGAGTTGATGTTCACTCTGAGATTCGAACACAACACCGTTCACTTCAAATGCCATTGCTTCGTCCACTTAGCTACTGAGTTCATATACCCATTGACTGTTAGTTCACCTAAACCATTGCTAGTCCAGTTTTGTTTTTGAGATACCTATTAACTGACACTCGTTTTTGTTCGTTACGAAGAACAAGACTGATCAATCACAATGTTAAACATCAATGGAAAGATTCAAATAATCAGTAGAAATGAAGCAAAGTTGTTTAGGCTAATACATAATCAGTAAAACCCAAGTATGATTGCCAACTTACCCGATATCCAATATTTCTACTTTTAAGAGAATCTATGTGAAATGGAAAAGTACCCTTCTTACTGTGTAACTCATATTATTGATCTTATCTCTGGATGGATGTGTTGTTTTTTTCTATTGAATAGAAATATTTGATAATGATCGATAATTTATTTAGTGATTGTAACTGATATTTGTTTACTTTCTATTGATTACTTGAAATAGATTTGCTCATGCTCAATTATTTTGTCATTTTGGTTATGCTGTTTTTCTATGTGATTGTCGTGGTTCCTCTAATCGTGGTATCGATTTTGATGGTCATATTAAAAATCGATTGGTAAGTTGACAAATAATTAAAATTATATTTTGATAGTTGGATTCATAAGTTGATTTAAACTAGACCAAATTTGGAACTTGGAAGCACTGGATGGCCGTTTCGTTCTAATATGGGACTCCTCGACGCAGTTGTCCCTTTTGCTCTGCAGTTACACCCCATGTCGTTAAGACCAACACTAATCCAACTTCCTTTTCAGGTTACTCAAGAAATATCCTTCCACGGTGTGGTCAGCCGGGGAAGTGACATCAGCCATCACACCCGTAACAACACACGAGACCAAATTGGTCACATTCAAATCCTTCCTAATGCTAACCATCAACTGTAAATCTTAATTCCTCACACAGGTTTATAACCTTCATTTAATCCTAGTATATAGGTGGACATTTTCTTAATAGTAATGTTAATAATTTCACATCATGGAGTTATTCTAGTTAAACAGCTAGGAAGTATTAGATGGCTGTTTTGTTGTAATATTGAACTTTTCAATAATGTATATCCACAACTTGAGACTTTTAGTCCTCACAACAAGCGCTTACTCTTTAAGAGATTGAATTGATTTTACAATGGTTCACATTCTTATTTTCATTTAAGTCATTTTGTGAACATGATATAGAAATTCTAAAATGAACAATTTACATAATACAGAAATTAATTTGTCCCATTGAAACATTGGTTTCAGTTATTTCATGTATGTGTTCTTGAACTTCTCCGTAATCTAAATGTTAAATCAAGTTTATGTGTATTGTAACATATACTTTAGTTTCAATTATTCCATCATCTGATTTGTTCTCTCTTCAGTGGTCTGTTAGAGGTGAAGGCGAGATATCCGTCTATCAATTAAGGGACGAGTATACTGCGTGGCAGTCCGTTCTGTTTTGATTTACGTCAGCGAAAAATGGTCATTAAGAGTAGAAGATACTCGTTAGCTACTAGTATTTGATCACAGATGCCTTAGAAATATTGCTGGCGTCTGCTGGGATCACCGGGTAAGTAATAGTGAGGTTAGACGCAGGGTACTAGGGAATGATGGTAAATCAATTGATGAGGTTGTCAATCTTCATCGACTGAGATGGTTGGATCACGTGTTACGTATGCCTGAACACTGATTACCACAACGTGCAATGCTAACCGGTGTTGGAGATGGTTGGAAGAAAGTTAGGGGTGGTCAAACCAAAATGTGGCATCAGTGCTTGAAGTCACTAACTTCTAGTCTGAGCCATGTTGGTAGATGCAGACTACATGGTTGGGGTCAGTGTGACTATCGTAACCAATGGTTGGAGACTCTTGGTGACATGGCTCAGAATCGATCACAATGGCGTCGGTGTATATACTCTCTGTCTTCCCTTAAACTAAGAGATTAAAATCGCTTCATATCTTTCTTTCTATAAACTAATTCTTTCTTCCTGTACTATATCCTTATTGCAATCTTTCTTTTATATATTACCACCTCTGAATTAACCACTTATATGAATCCGGTGTCCATCTTGTTGTGTTAATGAGGTATGGCAGCATGGACCGATGTACATATGTGCCTGGTCCTACGTTGTAGCTGACTGACTTACTCTCCCTTCATATAGACTTGGAAAACACTAACCTCAATTAATGAGTGTACACATTTATCAAGTTGATCCAATATTATTTGATTTCTTATTGTAAGTACATTTTATAGCAAATACAATGATTTTGATCTGTTGATAGCTGTTATCTTAATATATTAGTCTAGTTCGTGTATTATGATGATCCAATCGATTCTTTTAAGTCCTACCATGATAAGCTGATTGCTTCTATGAATAAAAGCCGCAAATTTAAGATGTAAGATCTAAGTCGTATTGCTGACTGTAAAAGATTGTGACAATAGTAAGGTTTTTGTTTTCAGACAATCATTATCTCAATACTTACAGAGGAAGGAAGGTGTTACAAATGGTTATTCCTAAAAATATTTCACTTCATCATATTTTACGGTTTTACATCATCAGTTGTAAAGCCTTTAAAATTAGGAGCTAACATATCAAAAGTTATTCACAAAACAACTTGTATATCTATAACTAACCTTAACTTGTTGTCCCTTATAGTCTTTGATCATGCTTTCAGGTCACCAAAACTTCTGTTAGTCTAGTCTCCTTTTTAGGTACATCTAAACTGAAATACATTTACAAATATTTACAATAACTGATCAGTGAATAGTAGTGACCAATGTTACATTTATCTAGATCTCAAACTCTGTTAATCAAGTAATATGTGTTCATTAGTCTAAGTGTCTTAACATCGACAGGAAACGCTGTTTATAATACGTTTGAATATAATGTGAACTCTTTGAATTGTTTTCCTTTCGAAATGTAATTTGACACAATTACGAAAATAAAGATTGATCTTTTGATACTATAGTGACTCACGTGCAATTGAGTTTATTCTCATTTAACTCAGTTATGCCCTTTTGCTAACTTATTTAGCGGACAAAGTCACCGCACTGTTACAACTTATTGTACCCTTATTATTTTGTGCTTGCATGAAATACGTATGCTTGAATATTGCTTACGGCCTACGCATTTATTCACTCTGCTAGTCTTACTACTAACCGCTTACTTGATTCGATGACTAATTCATTTCACTATGTATATATATATGTCCATGTTATTCACACTCACTCACTCGTCTCGCTCTTGCTATGGCTCTCGCTCGCTTGCTTGCCTTTCGGCACAACTCTTCTATGCTTGTTTAACGCATCTGTACATTTGGATATATGTGTGTGGTCTCGCAATAAACGTAATCAACACTTCGTATTTGCCTTCTGACCAATGTACCGTTGGGACGTTATATAGAACGGTTATCAAGACGAGCTGTATACGAAGTTTAAGGATTATATCGAATACCGACCACCACAATACAACCTTCATTCTATCAGTCAGTCGTAAAACGACTTGGTGACTGGCATATATATATATATATATATATATATATATATACGTTAGTTCAAGTTCTCATACCACATTAGTACAACACGAAATTAACATGGTGATTAGTAACTGGTTTAAAATAATAATAGTTTTAACAATGGTTATGAAAAGGACAAAACGTTGAGGAGATAGTTCAAGAAAACGAATTCAAAAGTTACATATGGAAGTAACTAAAGATCTAGGATAAAATAAATAGCAAATGTGTCTGTGTACCATCTTGATCAATTTACAGCTTTGTCACTGGGCGTCTAAAATCATTGACTAGAGTTACTGCAAGGATCTCAGACAACTAGTTCAGATCCCTACCAACATAGCTCAGACTAGCAGTCAGTAATGTCACTTTGATATTGTCTACTCCTGGTATTCTTTTTCAAATTACTCTTCAACCACCCAACATCGCTCATAAAGGTAAGTGGTAGTTATAAATCCCTTCAATCTGCGAGGGTTAACATCTTTCCTGTTCTCTCCTTTCATCATTGAAATATCGTATTCTATTTTCCTAAAAATAAATTCAGGGTCAGGTGGAACTTGATGATCATGTGGCCTTTTTAAAGTATGCTGCAAAAACTACTGGACTTATTGATCTTTCACGTGTTGCTATTATGGGCTATTCCTTTGGTAAGCAGGCTATCGTGTTTATATATATATATATGACTTTTATGAGTCAACAACTTTCTTATTTGACCATATGTGTCAATATGTAAGTATTTTGTTATTAGTAATAGTTTACGATTCCCCGTTGTTTGGTATTCGGAGCCCCTAAACGCCCCAATTAGACCGAGAGTGGGAAGAGTCTGCTCCCTCTGTTGAAACGCTCTCATATGGCAACGCGTATGTAGTAACTGTCAGTGAAGTCCTACTGCCTTATCTAATCATGGTGTTGTTTACGAAATTGAGAGGAGTAAAAGTAAATATCTGGCACTTGAACCCAGTTGATAGGTATGAAGGATCCACCAATGCGAGTTGAGAAACCTTAATTCCACACCAATTGTGCACATTAGGTTTATAATCTTGCGGGAACAAATGATGTACGAACCGGCTATTATGACACCCAATCTTCTGACTTCGCTTCACTGCTTTGTGGATTAGACCTTTGGGTCAGAGGTTGAAGGGATGTCCCCTTAAGAAAACCACCTGCTTTGGTTTGGGCAGTCGTGCAGTAGTCTAGCGCACATATATTGTACCAATCTTTATGCATTTAAATAAATATTAAATCATTTTGGAGTGCAATTTGTTCAGTCTCTGCTGCCAATATTTATATATTCAGTGGATTGTTTCGATATAGTTTTGTACTGCAATTTTTTTATTTCTAAACTCGATAGTGGCTCAATCGATAATGCGTTGAGTGTTCGAGCCGAAAAGTATTGAGTTCGAATCTTAACTCAAACATCAACACTGATATAGGTGTATATTCAGCCAATGAGTCCCAAATAAGATGAAATGTGTATCGTAGATCGCACTTCTTACCATATACTAACCTTATTGATTACACCTGCTTGAAAATGTTGATTTGATAAGAGAATAACTGCAAATCGATAAGAAATCTTATACCGGGTTATAGAATTTAGTCACAGTTAAATGAATTCATTCTGTGACTCATTATTACTAGTTCAGTCATACTTTGTAAATGTCTTATGAAATTGTTCATCCTATATTTAAGGATCTTTGCAGAGACATCTAGAAAATGCAGAATCATCTGCTGTGGTCTTGATTGAATACTCGCCAAAGTTGTTACTATATCTAGTGTTGTTCCAGAAATGTTTAGAACTCAAGGTCATGTGTAACTTTATAGATACGTTTTGTCTGTAATTAAATTAACTTTGGAACCAAGCAATCTGTTCAGACTTCTCCTTTTTTTGTGTGTTCAAGTTACCGTGTAGATTTAGCCTGGGTTTATGAGCAAGCGGCTAGGAAATCGGATTAAGCGATTGATTATCAGATATACCATTTGCACAATACGTTTATCATCGACAGTGTAGAACTCACAGTGCTATAGTTATTGAATAAATTATTAATGTATCAAGTGACTTATTAATATTTTGTTTGAGATCATCACTGAACATTTCTCTTCAAAAGAAAGAATCTCAAGTAGCGAACATCAAAGAAGAAATATTAAAGAGTTAGACGGTACAAAGAATAATTTACATAAAATCCATTGCTTGATAGTACTATTCAATTAATTCAATTAGAAATGGTTTAGATTATCTCGTTGTTGGCATATTTGGGCATCTTGTGCGGATCATCTCGATATGACATCAGTTATTATAGGAATACATGAAATTTGGCTAACAGTCTAATCCATGAGGCGCGTTTCAGTAGCTTTATCCATCTGACGACTCCCAAGTTGAATGAAAGGGGCGTCCTGGATTCCACTGCTAGCCACATTCCATCCATTCTATATCAACTATTCAATTAAATTTGTTTATTGCAAATGTAATCATTTTTTTCGAATACAAAAATTGTTGTATTACGGTTCTGATAATGATTATGATGATGATGAAACTCCTTTTGTTTTTCATCTTTAGGTGGTTATATGTCATTGATGGCTGCAATGCTATATCACGATGTATATAAAGCTGCAATAGCTATTTCTCCGGTGGTTGATTGGACGTTATATGATACCGCATACACAGAACGATATATTGGTCTACCTAAGGATAATCCAGATGCTTATTGGTAGGTTTACTTTTATAACAGTTAATAGAATCTTGTATTTAGTTTAAATGGTTCTATGGAGATCAGTTTGATGTATAAGTTGTTATCTGTCTCTGATTGAATTGCATTTAGGAGTGCCGTTGAAAACCAGGCAGCACATGATATCAGAATGTGAAGACATACAATCTGTAGACTGTAGTTGTTCGAACATTGTTAATATGACGTTGCTAGTGAACATTTTATCCAGTTTTTTTTAGTGTTGTTGGATATATGCATTTTAGTTCAAATTATACGTCTACCAACTTATGAACTTATTACATTAGGATTAGACTTATTCTTTTGTTGTAATTCTACAACTCATCGTTTGTTTGTTTGTTCGTTTTCTTTTCCTCAATAGTAAAGGTAACGTAATGAATTATGTTTCAAATATGCCATCAAATAAATATCATTTATTTATATTCCATGGTGGTCAAGATGAAAATGTACACTTTTTGCATACATCATCATTAATTGAAAAATTAGATACATGTGGTAAACCACATCATTTTCAGGTAAATTCAAATATTATAATGATTAAATAATTCAATTGATGTTGTTATCGTCTTAGACGATTTTATTAGTTTGTCTGTGTCACTCTATCCTGTTGATCAATCTGTAGATGTTTGTATTGTTGACATGAATCTCATGTAAAGATGACATATCTGTCCATTGATTATTGAATAATGTAAATGGTTTCCATAATCAATTGTTTATTCCCTGATTTAACAATATTTGTGCAGCCAGTGACATCAGCATGTGACCGGTCATATTTAGATTTTTTACACCAAGTGTTTATAAAAATGTCGGATCTTTGCAGGTTTTGTTTGACGAAATCCTTTTTTGTAAGGAGCACTTTGCCCTGCTACGGTTGAAGGTGAGGAGAATCAGCTCTCCCTCTCGAAATACTCTCACATGATCACGCGTATACAGGCACTGTCAGAGAAGTTCCACTGACTTCCTGCTCGCGAAGGGGGAGGACGAAAAGGAAATGTCCGGTGCTTCAACCGGATTGGTGGATATGGAGGATCCACCTAGAGGAGTTGGAAAACCTTGATTCCAAACCAATGGTGCACATAGTGTTGGGACATTCAGAAGAATATCCAAAAAATTATCCTGTTAAGTCTAATGCTATCCTTGAACGTGAAATGGTGTCAATAATCGAAAATCTTGTGAACACAGGTCATTCAATCAAAACAGACTCTGCGTTCAAAGTCATCTACAAGGTAAGTAGAAGCCTTCCTAAGACCATCAGACTGCATCTTCTCTGCATTGCCGAAGCAATAGCCATACATCTGGAAAAACCAGAATTGTGTGTGCAAAAGAGACTGTTACAACCTTTTCTTCTACCATGGTCTTAATGTATTAAAATTTTCTCTCATCTTCATACTCTTGTTCCTTTATAGTCATCTGCTTCACCTTTCATCTTCCTTTAAATCTTCTACCTCCAACTGGTTTGTTTTTATTTCCACGATCATTTCAATTACATTTCATCTCTGTTTCAACATTTTATTTTATTATGCTGAGCCATCCTTTCCCAATGATAATTTCCCAATCTATCTTTTGATGAATACTTAGGCCAATAACAATCAAACGATTATTAAACTTTCCTTGTTTTAAAATTTTTTACTAATATCTTTGTTTATGTAACCTCACTGTCACCATGTATAACAGAAGTTTATTATCATACCGTAAAAATAAGTATATATATTTGCGATTGTGCAGCTTTGGAAATGAATTCGCCGAAAACAGAACTCTTTTCGCTGAACTAGTCTCTCTTATTTAATGGCTGGAATAGTTTGGTGGTAACATCTCCGATTGTGAAACTAGGTCACACGATGATGAATCTGTAAATGAGCATCTGTTCTCTAAAGATGATTAGGACACCTTTTTGACGAGTATGTGATTGCACGAAAATTAGGTCGGGTAGGGTTTATTGTCGATTACCTGGAACCATCGTCTGCATAATTGACTCCCTAAGTTTAGTTAATCCCTTAAACTGTATTTTTGAAAATTTCTATATTATATGTTTCCTAGTTGAGGAACTAGATTTCAGTTTAAACAGCTCTTCATAATTTAACTGAATATAATGCTATGAGAACATTATCCGTCTACTTTCATGTGTGTCATGAGCATAGGTATGTTGGATGATCTTCAATGCTGTTAAAATTATATAGACATTTGCCAGTTCCCGGTCGCCCATAACGTGGTAGGATACCCCCCCTTATTAAAGCATTTTGAAAAGTGATTAGGTTATTAGTAGGCTTGTAAACCTGAAATGGATGACTGCAGAACCCAAAGGAAAACTACTTGAGATCATTCATACACAGCGTTTTTGTGAGTAGTTCTTGATCTTTTAATTCTGTACTTTTAAAGCTTTACTACCGTAGACGAAAATCTGTGAGTGCTATTTGTAGGATGAATATTTTCTAACCACTTCCTGCTGTTATAGATAGGCCAAATCTTTAAAAGTGCTCATTGTTTGAGGTAAACATCTCATTTTCGTCGCAGTCCAAGTACTATTAGCTATTTTTAGTCTTATCTTCCTCGAACCGACCTAACTGTCATATTAGAACCTAACTGAACAACTATTTCAGCCAGTTTAACTTGATTGGGTATCATATGTATTATTTACCAATCATTGAGACATATTTCTCAGCAAAACCAACAATCTTCTTATGTTGACAGATAATTTCCATGTGAACATTAAAAATTAAAAAACACGAAGTTCAGCGAAGGGATCTTTTTTCAACGAATTTAGTATCAAGCTGTACAATCGTATATATATGAAAACGATTTGATTGAGATCATGAATCAATTGATGTTAGACCACCGTTGGAAACCTGGAAGCACTGGACGACCGTTTCGTCCTAGTATGGGACTATTCAGCAGTGCGCATCCACGATCCCGCTCCCCGCGAGATTCGAACCCAGGACCTATCGGTCTCGCGCCAGGCGCTTGACCAACTAGACCACTGAGCCGGCATCCAATGGTGTTAGTGTCTAACATCAACCAATCCACGAAATTGCGCGACCAACTTCCATTGTACTGAGGTAGATACCTGTCTCTACCCGACACGGATTAGCTCCACTGGTCACGGCTCAGTGGTCTAGTTGGTTAAGCGCCTGGCGCGAGACCGATAGGTCCTGGGTTCGAATCTCGCAGGGAGCGGGATCGTGGATACGCACTGCTGAGGAGTCCCATACTGGGACGGAACGGCCGTCCAATGCTTCCAGGTTTCTAACGGTAGTTTAACGTCAATTGATTCATGATCTCAATCAAAACTTAACAATCTCCACAATCCCTATACTGATGTAAACGATTTGTTAAAGTACTAATTCCATCAGGAAATATGGACACGAATAGCCAAGATGACTTAATAGGAAGATTACAATACTAGATTACATGATACAAATAATAACAATAGATTTAATGAATATAATAAGATGATGAAAATGTTTATGTTATAATAATTAAAGGTCATAGAGACGTAAAAAATGAATAATGTGATATGATGAGCATTTACGAATAAAACAATGAGAATATAAAACATAAGTAAAGGGGAGAATGCAGTAATAATAATAATAATAATAATAATAATAATAATAATAATAATAATAATAATAATAATAATAATAGGATAATCAAAATAATTAAGGTCAAGGTAACGATAACGATAAGACGAACTTCTTTTGTACGCATAGTTCTGCTTTAAGCTCCTGGATTGTAAGAGCTTCGGCTATTTTTAAGAGTTGGGTACGAAGAAATCTGGGTAGATTTGAACGAATCATATAAATAACCTTAAAATCAATTTGTGGATCTGTAGAATGGTTACAGTCGATTAGGTGTTCAAGTATAGAACTCCTAACTGCTTTCCTTTCATCCTTATAGAACCAAGCTGGGATATGTTCCCGTATTCGAGTTGAAAGCGAGCGCTGGCTACGGCCAATGTACCTTGCTGTACAAGAGCAAGTGAACTGGTAGATGCATGGTTAATTGTGTTGACATTTCCTCACGGAATTAGTACTTTTACAAAAACAAAAAATTTTCATATATATATACGATTGTACAGCTTGATAATAAATTCGTTGAAAAGAGATCCTTTCGCTGAAATTCGTGCTTTAATCTTCCTCTGGTACAATTATGGTATCATTTAGAGTTATCAAAAACGAATCATCATATTGATTAACTTTTAAAACATTTTCTGAAAACTAGTCAATCAGTACTTTTGTAATATGTCACTGTAAATGTTAATTATTCTAGTGTCAACTTATCTATTGTTTCATCTGATGCTATTTCTATTCTCCTCCTTTACTTTTACAGTTTTATCCAAATTCTCGACATCGTTTAAAGCATCAATCTCATGTTGAAGCAACAGTTTTAAATTTTCTTGAAGAAACTCTCTGTAAATCAAATGAACTAAAATAGATCTATCGATGAAGCAAAAACAAAAAAAAACTATGACAAATCATTCCACATCTTCTATGTATAATTTATTATCATGGTTATGTATGTATATTTCCAGTCCAATACCCCTTCATACACACACACACGCACGCATACACCTCCCCTCCCTCCTTACCCCATGGTAATTCATGGAATTATTTAATTTGTTTTTTTTTTTACTTCCCATTGTATACTTCACTTTCTTCAAAACAAGAAAAAAAAGATAAAGAAAGTAAGATCATAATGGTGAAGATGATGATCAACTTATGTGCTTCCTTTTTTACTTCTTCTTCTACAAAGACCGAAATATATATAACTACTACTTATTAGGAAGATATATATATATATATATATATATATATATATATATATACATATATATTTATGTTCAGTGATTTAACTTCATGTATTCAGTAGTAGTATTTAACTTTATTTTTGTCAATCATTAATTTGTCTTTTCATTCTTTTCTTATTTAGTATTTAAATAATTAATTACTATAAATAATTTCTCTCGAATTATGTATATAAAATGGTAAACCCCATTTTTGTTGTTGTTGTTGAGGATTTGTTAGTCAGTCAGTCAGTAACAACGTAGAACTTTGTACGTACGTACATCAGTTCGAGTTGCCATACCACATTAGCATAGAGATGCAGTTGTCGATTCAAATCCCGTAGTGGTAGAGGTAATAATAGTATAAGCAGTAATCGGGAAGATTAGTGTTTGGAGATGTTACTCAAAGAGTATAATACAGTGAAATAAATTTGAGAGGAGAAAAATAAAAGAGACAAGGAGGAATAAGGAGATCAAAATTTGGGAGAACACAAAGAGTGTATGCACCTGCGCCATTGTAAACGATTTTGAGCCATGTCATTCAGGGTCTTTAACCATCGGTTGCTATCATCTCGCGGTCCTCAACCAGGTAGTCTACACATACCGACATGACTCAGACCACTGCCATAGAACCTTACGATCAACAGAGTCGAATGCCGCCTTAAGGTCGAGAAATACTACCATTGTGGGGCGTCTGAACGTGTGTCTGTGTTCTAGAACCTGACGTAGTGTGAATATCTGATCTATACAACCACGTCCAGGTCGAGAACTGGCCTGGTTTTCTCTAATCTGCTCTTCACGAGCTTTGATTAGGCGTCGAAGTATTATTGAAGCTAATATTTTAGACACTATATTAGTCAAACTGACTCCTCTGTGATTGTCACAAGAGGACTTTTGCCCTTTCTTATAGACTGGCACAATCAGTGATTGAGACCAGTCAGATGGGATTACGTCCAGTTCCCAAATTCTACCTAAGACCTCAGTTAATCTCACTGCTAATACTGAACCACCATCCTTAGAAATCTCAGGAGTAAACCTGTCAGGGCCTGCTGCTCTCCCTCACTTCAGATTTCCTATGGCTTTTTCAACTTCGTAAAGGGACGGAGAACCTACATCAACTTGCCATTCAGGTTGACTAGAGATCGTGGGAAACCGAAATGTGGCTGAAGGCCAGTTGAACTGATCCCTAGTGTTCTGCCCATCGATCCAATCTCCTGGATTGCGAATGTATAATATGTCCATCTTTCTCTGAGATTGTTTCGCTAACAGTCGATTTCCTAATTCCGGTTTTCTTAACAAGTCTGAACAATTGTCTGCTATTACCTATTGCCGCTGCCTTTTCCATCTCTCTTGCTTTCGCTACCCACCACTGTTTACGGTCATTGCGTAGACTTTATTACTACATCCGAGCGCCTAGCTTTTAGGAGAAGGTCGGGGAGCTTTCTGTAAAACTCATCTTTTACATTATCTGCACTGCAGTCAGTGGGAGAATAGGCAGAGACGACAAAGAGGCAACGACGAGTGTCCCTATCTTTCCGAGTCCTTACCGTTCTGTTCAGTCGGATAGCGCACAAACGACTATCTACTGGGATCCACTCTGAGAGAGCTAGTTCTGCCCTAGGACTCAATACTATACCTACGCCGGCGAGGCCACGGGAAGCAGAATCACGGCTTCCACATACACGAAGTGTGAGTCGAGTCAGTTCTTTATTTTGGCATGGTAAGGTCAGATGATTGACGCTACTCGGATCCTGTATGCGCGTTTCGGAGACGCAGCACACATCGATGGCGCGGGATTCTAAAGTCCTAGCTAAGGAAGCCTGCTGTCTTATTTGGCACAATATTCGGACGTTTAAAGCTCCTACGTGTAGTTTAAAGCGTGGTTTCAGGAGACCGGGTATAGCGTTCCGCGTACTCGAATCGTTTGCCCTAGCAGTGCGAGATGATAAAGAGACGTGAGGAGGGTTAGTCATGGAGATGAGAGGTATTAGGAGGTGTAGGAAGGATTTGAATGTGACCAACTTGGTCTCGTGTGCTGTTATGGGTATGAGGGTTGATATCACTTCCCGGTTGCCCACACCGTGGAAGGGTATTTCTTGAGGAACGTGAAAAGGAAGTTGCATTAGTGTTGGTCCTAACGACCTGGGAGCGTGACCGCAGGGGATTTGTATTTAATGAAATCTTGGCACATGAATTGATGATTGTCAGTTTTTGTTTTTGGTTAACCTGTATGAGTTACAATGTCAATATCTGTTTGTTTATCAATGAAAGAATAAGTATACTATTCAGTTGTTTTCTCTGGTTTATGTTTATGTTTAGGACATTAGTAACTAGTATTTCACGAAATATGTCTTTGAAGCTATCTCTCTCTCTCTCGTATATTGATATCACTAAGGTAGTAATATTGATATTAGAGTTAATGTATTAGGTAAATGATGACTACTCATTTGATGAGATTATGGAACTTCATCGATTGAATTGGTTAGAACGTATACTAAGTCACTGGTCATATCGACATATAATCCTTAATGATGTGTAAGTATGTCAAGATTTTTAGTAGGAAAAAGTTTATAATTTTGGTTATTCACTCTATCGTTGTTAAATAATTGTCATTCAAGTGAGTTCATAATAACGTGGTAACCTGTCATTTACATGTTTGTACAATTATATGACTTCTTTGGTAATAATAGGTTAACAAATTTCCAATCATATTAGAGTATTATGAAGGGATGAATAGAATATGCCTACCATTAGGTATATATACACTTAACCTCAGTATTCACGCGCGAGAATGATAGGTCCTGAGTTCGAGTCTCGCGGCGCGGGATCATGGTTGTGCACTGCTGAGGAGTCTCATAATAGGATGAAACGGCCGTCCGGTGATTCCAGATTTTTCATGGTGATCTAACTTTAATTGACTCATGATCTCAACTATACAAATTATTATTATTATTCTCAAAAACTAGAATGGTAGATATACAACAATTTTTAAATGAACTCCGTTAATATACTGAATCATGATAGCTAACAAATAGTTGAATGAAGTGAACTTAAAGGCTTTCTTGTCAATCAGTAATAATCATCAAATGGTCTAGTGTATAGTTACATTTACTTAAGTTGTCTAACCAACATTAATGCGATGAAATCACTGTGAAAATATGTCATCAGAAGAGAAATAATGTAATCTCTAAACATGTTTGTAATGGGATGTGTGCATAAGCACAAGGTTTATTCAGAGTTAATTGACACTTACTAAAGTATACTCCCATCACTGTCATCAGTGAGTTACTATCTCACAACTGACCTGGTTGAACTCCACTGGTCACTGCTTCTCACTAGAACTCCAGGATATACCTCTTGAAACTAGTCACTAGTGAGCATATGTTGATTAGTATCAGAAGGGGTTTTGTGGAGATTGTAGTAATTTTAGTAGTTGAGATCATGTGTCAATTGAAGCTAAACCTCCATGGAAAACCTGGAAGCAGTGGACGGCCGTTTCGTCTTATTGTGGGACTCTTCAGCAGTGGTCTAGTGGTTAAGCGTACGCGAGACTGATAAGCCCTTGCCCGAATCCCGTGAGGCGGGGTCGCTGATGCGCACTGTTGAGGAGTCCCACAATAGGACGAAGCGGCTGTTCAGTACTTCCAGGTTTTCCATGGTGGTTTGGCTTCAAACGACACATGCTCTCAACTACTGAATTTACTACAATCTCCACAAAACCCCTTCTGATAAAGAATAATTATTTCTAAGTAATATTATATTAATTCATTTGAACAAATTTTTTATCATTATCACGGAATTCGAAAATGTTAGTTTGGTTACTGTTTCATGTAGAAGATTGGTTGATATATCTTGGAATCGAGTGTTTCAATTATTTTGGAGTCGATTGTATAACTGGGAAATTGTCATTCAACACAGCACTGGATAGCACATCTCATAACATACAATAAATAAAATCATATTCACAGGAAAAACTACCCTTAAACAACGCGTTACGCTTGAGGGTGGAGAGAGAGTGTGTCCGCTTATCCTCTGGAAATACTATCATACAACTATGAGCTTATAGCTAATATCTGGGAGGTCCTACTCACCGTATATACATGAGTAGTTACTTTTTTTACGAAAGCGAGTACAGAGGTTCTACTGAGAGGAGTTAGAAAATCCTGATTCCAAATCATTTGTGCATATGGGCTTTGGGATTTTGAGGGACCCAAAAGTGTATTAACGTATCTGTGGATACTACTTATCATTGGATTGGATTCATTGACGTTATCTTGTTGATTAGACCTCTTAATAAAAGTCTCCAGGAATCTCTCTTAGTGAAAACACTTGAATTAGTTTAGGCAAACAGAAAGTATCCCATCTCATACACGAATTTTATGATGACTACAACTCAAGAAAATATGTGCATATTTGTGTTTGAAATATATCAATATAATCTTTTCTAAGATGGAACAACATAAGAGCTTTCCGGCCTACACTATGAATGTTTATTTCTTGATACTATATTATTATATATCAAGAATAATATACTTCGTTTTTGTATTGTTCGTTTGAATCTACCCATTGATCAGTCTCTTACTGGCATATGCGCATACTGTGCGAATTGCCTTAAATCACAAGCATTATAAGCAACGATTGATAGTGGTTAGCAGTGGAATCCAGGACGTACGATTCGCTCTATTTGGAACTCGTCATCTGGATGTACCTGCATCTCAGAGTTGATGTTCACCCTGAGATTCGAACCCAACACCGTTCACTTCAAATGCCATTGCTTCGTCCACTTAGCTACTAAGTCCATATACCTATTGACTGTTAGTTCACCTAAATCATTACTAGTCCAATTTTTTTTTTGAGATACCTATTAACTGACACTCGTTTTTGTTCGTTACGAAGAATAAGACTGATCAATCACAATGTTAAACATCAATGGAAAGATTCAAATAATCAGTAGAAATGAAGCAAAGTTGTTTAGGCTAATACGTAATCAGTAAAACCCAAGTATGATTGCCAACTTACCAGATATCCAATATTTCTACTTTTAAGAGAATCTATGTGAAATGGAAAAGTACCCTTCTTACTGTGTAACTCATATTATTGATCTTATCTCTGGATGGATGTGTTGTTTTTTTCTATTGAAAAGAAATATTTGATAATGATCGATAATTTATTTAGTGATTGTAACTGATATTTGTTTACTTTCTATTGATTACTTGAAATAGATTTGCTCATGCTCAATTATTTTGTCATTTTGGTTATGCTGTTTTTCTATGTGATTGTCGTGGTTCCTCTAATCGTGGTATCAATTTTGATGGTCATATCCAGTGGTGGATTGTGAATGGCCCTCGAATCCATGACGCGTGTTTCATCTTATTTAGGATTCATCAACTGGATGTACTAGATTCCACTGCTATCATCCATCTTTGCTTATAACAATATTTTTGAAAACTTAAACAAATCACAAGATTCACTTGGTATTGTTTGGCTTGTATCTTCCCATTGAGGTTTAAGACTGCAATTGATCAGTCTGTTATTGGCATATGTGCATACTGTGCGTATGCCTCGATATTGCCTTAATTCGCAAGCTTTTTGCAAGCAAAGATGGATAGTGACTAGCAGTGGAATCCAGGACGCGCGTTTCGTCCTGTTTTGGACTCGTCAACTGGACGTACCTGCATCTCAGAGAGTTGGTGTTCACTCTGGGATTAAAAAAGAAACAAATTATCTAAGATATGGTTTTTTTGTTTATTAAAATTCAATCTTTCATTTCATGATCACTAATATCACTATCATTGAATGGTACTTGTTCATTACTTTCTACTAATTTAATTAATTCATCTACCAATTTACTTGGATGTTGAAATAGTTGTTTTGGTGTTGAATCAATATTGATAGTTTGTGAACAGAAAGCCTATAGAAAAATGGGAAAGAAGACAAGAAATATGTGAAGAGTAAGGTATAATAAACAGGGAAATATTTTAGTATTTCAAGTTGTTAATCGTGATAAGTCTTGCGAATTGAACGCTATATTCGTCTCCTAAGCTATTCTGTAACCCCCAAGCTAGAACTATACAGCGACCTGAACACAATAGAGAAAACGCAAAGTATGCGAGAAAATACTTTACTCCAAGGTTCGTTTTTGTACAGAAAACACGGGTATTTATAGATGTTAACATTTGTTAAATCAACATCATATTTTAGCCAATCCGCTAAAAGACATATTGTGCTACTGACCAATAGTAGCACGCCACGTTGATATTCTAGAAAGCTGCATCATGCTCCGATTGCCTAGGACTCTTCGTCTCCTCTAGGGCCTCTGGAGGCTCCGTTGCAGTCCTCGGAAAGCCGACTCAACAATCAATAGGGTACTTTACTTGTCTTAGTTAAATGTTATTGTGAAGAATTCTTTATTTATTAAAGCATATAAACATTGGTACAAGGAGGCAACAAACAGATGCACCACATAAGTTATTCGATTTGTGTGAGGGTTAGAAGACTGCCCGGGTGCCCAAGCCGAAGCAGGTGGTTTTCTTAGGGGGCCACACCCGGAGCATTCAACCTAAAGGTTTGATCCACAAGGTTACATGGTAGCCGGTGACCAAGAAATTGGTTCATTCGGCATTTGTTCCCTCAGGATCCTGGAATCCATGTACATCATTGGGTTTTACAGGGTTTTCCAACTCCTCCAGGTGGACTCTCCGTATCCACCAACCCAGGTAAAGTGTAGGACATTCACCTTCTGTCCTCAATTTCGTAAATAACAATCACGCCACGAGAAAGCAGTGAGCAGGACTTCCCTGGCATTGGTTGTATGCACGTGGTTATGTGAGAGCATTTCGAGAAGGAAATCTGACTCTCCCCACTCTCGGCCGTGCCAGGGTATTTGGGGGCATTTATGATTAACAAAGATTGTTTGGACTATCATGGTAGAGTTGGGTTTTGACAACATGGATTCTTTACGTGGAATTTAAATTTACTTTACTTTTGTAGTTTGAGACGTTACTATGGAGCTATTTGAGGTTCTGCTTATCAATAATAGAACTAAGGTGATAAATTATCTAGTTTTCACTACTTTCGATCAAATTCAGTTTTAATAGTAAATTCTCCATGAACTAATATCACTTGGAAAAAATCTGAAAATCGAAGTGTAATGACGCTCGGTTTCCGCATCTACACGACTAGGATGTTAATTTACCTTAGACGACTATCTACACTAGATGCCCTCCCAGTGTCTATTCTACAGGACTTCAACACAACCCAGATCAAGAACCCGTAATCAGTCTGTCTGGAACTTAAATATATTTTCACACCAAAAACCGACAACAATCTCCGTACTCATAAGGGTAAGAGAATATATAACTCATCTAATACCTGTCAGACTATTTGCTAGTCTTACTAAACAAATAACTAATCATTATTTCCCTCGCTCACACATCACAAAGAAGGTTTCAATCAGTTATTCTAACTACAAATGGAAAATTCTTCGTTGTATTCAAACATAGCTCCACGTAAAATCGAATTCAAGATCTTACAATCTCACCATGAGCAAGATACTTTTGAGTCAATTTTTCAGAAACTCATAGCCTTCATTCTTAATTTTAATCATTCTCCGACTAGTTGGCTGGCAGATGTTAATGTTACAATTTATTGAGTAGAAACCAATACGAAGTTTGTCTAATCCTTTAAAGTTAATCGATTTCTGTCTATCAATTTGCAATGCGGTCATTGATCAAAGTGACTCGATATTGCATGTGTTATGTTGACATGTTAGGTGGTTGGAAGTAGTCAACAAGAAAATTTTGTCGACTTAGATTTCATCTTAGATATCACTCATAATCAAGGGTTGTTGGGAGATTTGAGATAACTGATGCTACCCTTGACTATTCTAACATTGATTACCTCGTTATATAGTCTAGGACATTATCGATGATTTATTCGACTGAGAAATGACTACACGCCGACTATCTTTCTAGTTATATCATTTGAAATAAATTAAATACATTTTCTAGAAAAGTAACATCACTTACTGTCACATTCAACTTATCAATATCTGTCTTATGATATATACTGGATCCTTTATCATAATTTGAACATTTACTTAATTGACTTGTGATCTGATTTGATTCCGATTTATTTTTTTGAGTATCGACATTGATATCGGAAGATTTATTGAAATCATTCAATCGTCCAATACGTGATGCATTAATCGCAGATAATTGTTTAATACGAGCTTCTTTAAGATATTGATGATTTGATGTTCTTGCTATGTAGTCATTATAATTTTCCATGGCATATTCTTGATTACGTATGATTTTTCTTATCTTCATTAAAACGGGAATAGATAATAAAATTTCAATAGTGACAAAATAGTTAATAATAATAATAATAATAATTTATTCGCGCGAGAGACCGATAAGTCCTGAGTTTGAATCTCACTGGACGGGATCGTGGATGCGAACTACTGAGAAGTCTCACAATAAGACGAAACGATCAACCAGTGCTTTCAGGTTTTCCATGGTTATCTAGCTTTATTTGACTCGTGATCTCATTTATTGAAATAAATTATAAGTAATTGTAGAACTATATGTGGTTGTGAAGCAGTTACCCACCAGTAGGATTAGATACTCATCATTCTGTATTAGAAATTATACTATTGGATGCAAGCATAGTGATATAAATGATCAAGTTTTGGTAGCCAGTCTTGTGAGTCTTAGGTTCAATGTTTGATAGGGTTGTTAACGCGCACTGACACTAAAAAGCATAATGCCAGGATGAAACAGGTCTCCTGTATTTTCTGCTTCTCGAAACAGTGTCTTAACCAAAGGTAGTCAGTGGTGTGGAACTTTATATTTCATTATTATGATATAAAAAGAAGTGTTGCAAGAGTGCGAGTAATGAAGAAGATTAGAATTTTGAAACTATTTTACAAATTATTTATTTTATTGTGTCTACCTATTAAATAAGTGGATTATTGTATGTCAGTTTTCCATCTATTGCAGAATTGAATTGTAGTCACGAATTGTTGCTACATGATTTGGTGTTCCTTAACTATATCTAAGTTCTTATTCAACCTTTGTTGCATTCTTTCCCACTTATGACTTGTTTGTGCTTAAACGGTACTTTTCTAATTTAATCACAGTGTGGTTTTGTGGATATTATAGTAATTTAGCAGTTGAATTCATGAGTCAATTGAAGCTAGACCACCTTCATAGAAAACCTGGAATCACTGGACAACCATTTCGTCTTATTATAGGACTTCTCAGCAGTGAACATCCACGATCCCGCCTCTTGACGATCTTTCAGTGCTTCCAGGTTTTCCAATGGTGGTCTAGCTTCAATTGACTCATAAATTCAGCTACTAAATTACTTTTCTATTTATTAGTGTATTTTCGTCTGATAATTTATACAATATGATGAACCACTACTGTACAATAGAGAAGATAGCTGTTTGTTAGTTTCAGTCAGTCAGCTACAACATAGAACCAGGTTTGTTATCTTCAACATCTGATAGATCAAGGACTAATAGGCATTAAGGCACTTTAAATACAATATCTACAACCCCTAAACTGACAATTACCATGTGCTCACTAGTAACTAGTTTCGTGAGAAAATTCTGGGAGTTCTGGTGAGAAGCCGTGACCAGTGGAGCTAATCCGTGTCGGGTAGAAATAGGTGTCTACCTCAGTACAATGGAAGATGGTCGTGCAACTTCATGGATTGATTGAGGTTAGACATTAACACGATTGGATGCCGGCTCAGTGGTCCAGTAGGTTAAGCGTTCGCGCGCGCGACTGAAGGCCCTGGGTTTGAATCCCGCGAGGCGGGGTCGTGGATGCGCACTGCTGAGGAGTTCCACAATAGGGCGAAACGGCCGTCTAGTGCTTCCACGTTTTCCATGGTGGTCTAACATCAGTCGGTTCATGATCTAAATCAACAATTTAACAATCTCCACATCCCCTAAACTGACAATTCAAGGATTCATTCTTCATTAAAGATAATACAAAGAAGTGAAGGAAGAGTTTACTTACTGATGAATAATATTTTTGTTCTTCAGTTGATTCATAAGTTTTTGTAGCATCTAATATTTCTTGTTGTTTACATTGTACATTGTTAATTTGTTTTTTACACCATTCACATATACATGATAATAATTCTATATCTGGTGTAATTGGTCGAATTTGTTTATTATCTAAATCAGTTTGTATATTTGTCCAAGTTTCAGCCATCTTAATAAATGAAGAATAGTGTTACATATATTCATATAATGATTGGTGAAGATAAACTATATTACAGATATTAATCGACATCAGCAAATGGATATATGCGCCACATAAATCATTCGATTTGTGTGAGATCTGGGATATTACCTGAGTGCTCAGACCAAAACGGGTGGTTTTATTAAAGGGCCATAGCCTGAGCCTTTGACCTTAAGGTTTGATCCACAAGGCAGTGGAGCAATGTCAGGAGATGCAGTCCCATGGTATCCGTGACCAATAGTTGATTCATACGCCAGGTTTTACATCAAGGTCGTTGAATTCATGTACATCATTGCTTTGGAATCAAGGTTTTTCAACTCCTTTAGGCGGACTCTTTGTATCCACTCACCCGGCTAAAGCGCTGTATATTCGCTTTTTGTCCTCTGAATTTCATAAACAACCCTCTCACCGCGAGAGGGTAGTGAGTAGGACTTTCCTGGAAGTGGTTGTAAGCACGTGGCCATGTGAGAGTATTTACATAGGGAGAGCTGATGAAGGTCCAAACGTGGATCAGACTATCTATCAAAATGTTGAATTTTACGTAAACATCAATCTTGGAGTTTATTGAAATATAATATTTCCTCTTTCATGTCTTACATTCACTCAGGATTCATCTATCATGAAACTATTCTTTCAAATTACGACAAAATTTCTTTTCTATGGTATAATCTAACAATAATTTTTAGTGAAATTCAATGAATTGATATGTCATTTGCTTGTTACTAATTAATATCAGAAATCTGCTGGTTATTTATATTGAATAAATTTCTGTTTAACTGGGGGATGCTTTCATGTAAGTATTATTGTGATGTGTGCTACTGATATTGATAGATATAAGTAGTATGTATCATCAATCGAAATTGGAATGCCTAGCGTTAGATGATTGAGAGAATTGAAGAGAAGAGAACGAGAACAAAGAATGATTGGTAATGAAAATGAAGGAACAACTAAGTCTGAAACAATTAATGGATATTTTTCAATGAAGTATTTACTGTATGTTTATCAGATATTACCAATATATTCTGTAATGTTGTATTAAAATACATTTGGTTGTCCCCCATTTCTGTATCCATTCACTACATTATCATCTTTAATTGTTAATTGAAGAGTTTCACAGATGAGATAGTCATCATTTATGAAAAGTGATGATCGTATTATGTGTAGATTTAGCTGATATTGGAAATATTAACTCATCTATCTGAAAGTCTACGGTTTAATGGTTACCGAGGTGGGTGATGTGTATTGTCGAGAAGTTTCACTGGTGGAGTTGAAACGATTACAAAGTTTTTCATAGATTTTAGTGATTCTTAAGATGATGTCACTAATTAAAAATGAAGTATGGTACATTTGTATTGATTGTTTGGGTTTTTTACTTAAATGTTATGTACTGCTATTGATTAGTCTGTTTTAGAATTTATGAAACTTGTGCAGATAACCCCGATATTATCATTAAATTACAAGCATTTTAAGCAAAGATGGATGATGGTTAGTAGTGGAATCCAGGATTCGAGTTCGTTCTGTTCGGTACTCTTCATTTGGATGTACCTGTAACCCAGTGCTGATATTCAAGCTAAGACTGGAAATCAAATATAGCTAAAAACGACAAACGCGATATTCAAGTAACTAATATAAATTAATTAAAATCCACCCTGTTACTAAGTGAACTCAGTTATGAAGTGGATAGCGTGTTAAAACATTGGAACAAAACGTACTTGGTTCGAGACCCGACGCAAGTAATGATACTAGGGTGCAAGTAGATCAGGCTGAAGAGTCCCTAATAATGACAAAACATGTATCCTGGATTCCACTACTAACGCCTATCCATTAAGTTTATCACAATAATATTCATAAATAAACAACAACATGAGGTTATTAGTTTTCCTTACCTTTAAATCAAAATATGATTCTATTTTTTTCAATGTAATCTGATCTTTAAATGTAAGATTCTCTTGATTATTAAAACCAAGTCGTAAAAACAAAGCGTATATATTCATTTGAAGGCTGGTGTTTTGTTTAGTCGCTGATGTCTCAGAAAGATCTTTTACATTATCTGTACCTAAATTTTATTTTGTAGAGATAAAAAAAATTAGATTGATCGGAATGATAAAATATCAGTTGAGTCAGTCAGTCAGTCGGTCAGCTACAACGTAGGACCAGGCACATATATGCATCGGTCCAAGCTGAATATGAGGTATGCCAGATTCACATGTATTTAACAAGTTTCTAGCTTAATGGACTAAAGTTAATTACAGTGAATGGTACCATAGTACTATTAAATGATTGTATCAAGTTGTGGATCATATTATCGTATGATTTCATTATTTATCAAATATGAATCATTAGTTTATTGTGGTTTATTTAAAGCGATATTTTTTCTTTGGTCAGTCAGTCAGTAACAACAACGTAAAACTTCGTACGTACTTACGTACCTACATCAGTTTGAGTTGCCACACTACATTAGCACAGAGATACAATTGTCGATTCAAATCCCATAGTGGTAGATAGAGTAAAAGTATGAGCAGCAATGGAAAAAATTAGAGTTTGAAGATGCTATTCAAGGAGTATAATTCAGTGGAATAAATTTGGAAAGAAAAAAAAGAGACAAGAAGGATTCACTAGATTAGAATTTAGGAGAACACAAAGAGTGGATGCACCAACGCCATTGCAAACGATTTAGAGCCATGTCATTTAAAGTCTCCAACCATCGGTTGCTATCATCTCGCGCATCCCAACCAAGTAGTTTACACCTACCGACATGGCTCAATGCACTTGTCAGTGACTTCACGGATTTATGCCATGTTTTGATCTGGCCGCCCCTTGCTTCCTCCCAAACTACTCCTACACCATAAAACATCGCCTTTCAGTGGTTAGGCATGGGTAACACATGTCCCAGCCATCTCAACTGATGAAGTTTCACTACGTCATCAATTGATTTGCCATCCTTACCTAGAACCCGTTTCTTAACAACTGCGTTATTCGTCCGGTGGTCTCAGTCTGTACAAGCAATGCTTCGAAGACACCTATAATTGAATACTAATTTAACCGGTCATGTTTTACAGCCATAAAATAGGACGGAACGAACTGCTGCTCAGTAAACACGTCCTTTGGCTGGTAGACAGATATCTCGCCTACGCCATGAGTGATGCAAGTTGGCAATAGCTAGTCGAGCCTTTTGTATCCGTGCTGAGATTTCGTCACATACCAGACCACAAGGGCTGATGAGACTTCCAAGATAAGCGAAGCAGTCGACACGCACAACTACTTCACTCCTCATCATTATTTCGGGTGTCGATGCAACCCAATCCTGAAGAAACATCTTGCATTTCGAGAGAGAGTCGCATCCCGAACATGCTCGCATTGTTGCTTATAGTGGTCAGAATACTGCATTTTGTCAGCATCTTCACCAAATGGTAATGGTAGTAAAACGACAAGTCGTTAGTTGGAGGCAGTCAATAGGAAACACTGGTTGATTAAAGTTTCGTGCTAGTTTACACACGTAAAAAACATGAAATAGTAATAATTTAGCAATTGAATTCATGAATCGATTGAAGCTAGACTACTAAAGAAAACTTAGAAGCACTAGACGGCCGTTTAGACCTAGTGTGAGACTTCTCGTGGATGAGCACTATTGAGGAGTCCTATACTAGAACAAAACAGTAGTCCAGTGCTTCCAGGTTTTCTGTGGTGATCAAGCTTTAACTGACTCATGTATTCAACTATTAAATTACTACAATCTCCACAAAACCCTCTTTCTGAAACAGTAATGTTGAGGTGAATAATGCACTCTGGCATATTTAATCCCTTGTCATTTAAATTCACATTCAGTGACATTATCACTGAGCTATTTTAGTTGCAATCGACCACGTGTAGGAATAAGATATATTTACATTTTATCGATTAATGTTTAGTAATTAGTGTCTCATATATGTGAAGTCCTTCTTAATGCTAATCGATTCATCTGTAAACTTTCATAATATGTTTGCTTAGAAACTAATCGTACCATTTTTTTCAAAAAATGGTTACTATTATATAACGTAACTAGATGAATACATTTTGGTAACTGTAATGAAACAATTTTTTTGGATATATCAATCAATAGTTGTCTTTCATCATTTTAATTAGATAATCAACTGCGCGCTCTCCCTTGCTCTCTCTTTCTTTCTCTCTGTTTCATAGTAATCAACTAAGAATTCAACGTTACAAGCACTTGATGTACAGATACCAGGTATAACAGTTTATTCAAAGTTATAAACACTATGCTAAAGATAACAATAAGTAAACTCGCTGATTATAGTTTTACAATACTAGGGATAATCATTGATGTGACTGTAATGTGAATTGAATTGTTTTCACTTGATATTGTTTGGCTTGTATCTTCCCATTGACGTTTAAGACTGCGATTGATCAGTCTGTTATTGGCATATGTGCATACTGTGCGTAGGCCTTGATATTACCTTAATTCACTAGCTATTTGTGAGCAATGATGGATAGTGGCTAGTAGTGGAATCCAGGACGCGCGTTTCGTCCTGTTTTGGACTCGTCAACTGGATGTACCTGCATCTCTGAGAGTTGATGTTCACTCTGGGACTCGAACCCAGTACCATTCGCTCCAAATGCCATCGCGTTATCCACTTAGCTACTGAGTCCTAATAGCCACTTGCTTGTGCAATGGAGTGAATTTGAATTCACTTGGTATTGTTTGGCTTGTATCTTCCCATTGAGGTTTAAGTTTTGTTCAGTTTTCTATGGTTCTCGAATGTTGACATTGTTATGTCATATCACTTAAATCTTATAGTATATAAGTATGAATAGCATATTAGTTTGGCAATGATACTTTATTATACGTTGAATAATAATATAGATTTTCTTACTTTTCACTTACCAAATTGTTTTTGTTTTATCAATCTTTTCTCTTCCCATCTCCAAATATAACAGAGTAATTGTGCTAAACTAGGTCCATTTAACCAAATATTGATCGATTCTTCTTTGTCATCATCATCATTATTATTAACTTCTTCTATTTCACAAGGATTTATAGAATCTTGATTGAAAATCTCATTTGAATCGACTCCTTTTTCATTTGCCATGTTTAAATGTACCTGATTACTATGAATATTATTACTATTATGATGATCAGTAGTATGTTTGTTAGTGTTTAAAATAATTTTATGCAATCTAGTTGAAACAACAGGATCAGGTGATTTCATCAATAGGGAAGTTGTTAATTCTAAATGGTTTAATTGTTGTTTAATTGAATTTCTATTATTCAGTATCAAATTATTCTCTTCATCATTATCATCATTATCATTCAATGGACGAATTCCAGACCAACAGGATAGATATGGTAAACATTTAGGATTCTCTGTTAAATCTACCAAACAACCTAAGAGATAATTGATTGATTCAAGTGGATACCACTTTTAAAGGAACAAAATAAAAGTAGAATAAACATAGTAATCGGATTATTTTAGAAGTTTTGTTTTAAATTTAAACATCAAGGGATTAACTTGGATAACATTGGATCAAATCCTTGTTCTGTAAATGGTCAAAATATGATGATCTACAGTTGAATAATCAATGAGGAGTGATTAATGTCATGTTTTATGATAACATTTTCAGTGTTCATTGAAATCTACTGACCAGCTTGCAATGTGAAGATATTAGTTGGTTGATGATAATCGATAAGAAAAATGGATTGATCAAGGTTTCGTGTTAGGGGGTGTACCTGTGACTTCGAAAGAACTTGTGTCATCTAGTTTCACAATCTGAGATACATGACACTGAGCTATCTGGGTTATAGATTAGTAGCTCTCTCAAGATCGAACTTGAACGTTTTGTGATCAGTACACCAATCGTGTCAGTTACATTTCCCAATAAATAATTTTGACATGTTTTTGACATACTACGTATTTCTATTTATTCTAAAAAATAGGTAATATATCAACTATACCACTGTCATTTAGTTAAAGGATAAACCAATAATGAAGGTTCCTATTTATCCAAACCTACAATTAGAAAGACTCATATACAAATGGTAGCTTTGTTGTAAAACTGAATAGCACATTCTATAAAAATAGATAGAGAGGGTTTATGGAAATTTTCAATCTTGTTTTTCACATCACTAACTAGTCTTAGACAATCAATGAAAACTAGGATACAATGAATAGTTGTTTCATATGAGTATAGGACTGCTCAGCAGTAAGAATGTACAACCTTACTGTGGATCAAACTCATCAACTTCAGGTTTGAAGATGAATGCTTAGTCTAACATCATTCCATGATGTAAATAACGGAATTCGACAACTATCATAGATTCCTCATAGAAATTGTTATGTTTGTTTACAATTTTTATCTTTACTCACTTTTGTGTATTGGTTTATACTCCTTGTTGACATACGGTAACCAGTTACATTTCCAATAATTTATGGACGTACCTTATGACATACATTTATTTGTTTTGTAATATTTCAAAGTATTTACATAAGCTCGTAATATTCACTGTATTTATGATTGTAATTAAATTATTTAAATCATTGTAATAGCTATTCTTAGTTCTCATCTTGATTGTTGATAGTCATTCTAGACTTAGGACATATACGCTATTGTATGTTGTAATGAATGTTTGGGTAATCAATTTCAATTTCCGGACAGATGGACGCTTCAATCGCTGAAGATACATCACGAGTTTAGGTTTGTAACCAATTTACATATATTTTATAATAATAGAATCGTTCTTTAGATCAATAGTTATTTTGCACCTTGGTTTCATGAGTATCTCAATCGTGCAGTTGGATGCCTTGATAGAATCAACAGAAATATTAATTATGTGTTCACCAGTGACTAATTTCGAGAAGCTATCCCCGAAGTTTTAGTGAGACGTTGAGGTTGGTGGATTTAAAATATGTGGAGTGTGAAGCAGTTATTCATTGATGACAAAAGTGAAATGATTACGCACTATCGTGACGGGCGGTGTTCAAAATCTGATACTGTTACACGGCGTGCTACGAGCTAACCGTCTAATCGACTAATTGGGTGAGAATAAGAGTGGGTGGGAAAGTGTATCGGGTTACTGAATAAAATGCACAAATACTCGTTCACATATATTCCAGTCTATCCTTTGGAAATTGATCCACTTCTTAGCCAATGAAATACACTTGTCCTTTAGTTCGTTTCTGACTGCTACATAGTGACCTTCTCATTAGTCTACTTCTGATTGGCTTTTTATGTCATGTACTACTACAAATCAGTTGAAGTTAGAAATGCAATCTATCGGATGCAGAATCAATGGCTGAAAAGTTTAATCATCGATGGAGTCGTGAATGAAGAGTCCTGTTCTAGGAAGAAATAACTGATTTTCATCATTGATTAATAATTAACTGACTCTTATTTTCAGTCAGTTAGAATCTAGTAACGGTTATCAAGTCAAAATATCTACCAACTTCATACAAAAAAGCCATTTGTTTATTTATTTTTGAAAATATTTATAAACCAGTATGAAATTTGTAATATCTCAACAGAAGCCGTGACTAGTGGAGTTCAACTGGGTATGTTGTGAGATAGTATTAACTGAAAACAATGGTTGATGTGTCCCTCAATTTTGTGGTTTAATTGACGTTAGACATTAACACCGTTGGAGGCTGGCTCAGTGGTTTAGAAGTTAAGCGTTCGCGCGCGAAACCGATAGGTCCTGGGTTCGAATCTCGGCCATACAATGCTACCAGGTTTCCATGGTGATGGTCTAGCTTCAATTGGCTGATGAATTCTCTCTTCATATTCAGTGTAAACTAGTGAGAAAACAATCAAGGTTATAACCAAAAATCTGTCTAAAACTGTCATATATATTCATCTGTAAATATTTACCATCACTAGTGTACCCACGTCAAATCTTTTTATTTCGAAATATATTTGATATATGAATTCTAATGTAATAGTCTACTGCTTCTTCAAAGAGAGCAGAAAAAAAAGAAAACATAGAATGGATAATGGTTCCTATTGAATTTCTCAATAATTAGATTCTCAATAGGTTAGAGACATGTGGTGAAAGCGCCTAAGTGCATGCGTTTATCAGATACAGTCAATGAAATCATACAAATCTCCAATGGGAAAGTGTCATGTTTTTATGTAATCATGATTAATGTGCATCAAACTTGAATATTAATGTATGATACTTTCTGGTGCTTATAGATTATGGAGATTAGAAATAAGGATGATCATTGGTATTTAAAAAGTGAAAAGACAATATTTCTCCACTTATTTTCCCAGGGAAAATCTATATATTCAATGAAGGAGTGAGTAAACTATGTATAGGCTTTCCCTAGAATACTATAAAATTTACATATTCCACTTTTTGATATCATCAACTGTCATCTGTTCAGTTAGTCATAGAACAGATGGAGTGAGGTGAATAGTACGATCCAGAACGCGTGTTGTTTTGTTCTACTGAGGATTTGTCAGCTAGATGTACCTGGATCTCAGTTGACGTTCACTCTGTGATTCAAACCCATTACCATTCCCTTCAAACGCCAGCGTACTATACACTTAGCTGCTGAATCGAGATAACTACCTATCTTGCGCAACGGGGACGAATCTTAATTTAGTCTGTCCTACTTTAGACTATCCCATTATTGATATTTCGATTGACATAGTCACCCTGAGATCAGGTATAACTAACTGACGATTCCCAAACAGAATAAAATGACTCATGTCCTGGATTTCATTACTCATCACTGTCCACTTATTCAATGTAAACATTTATGACAGATTTTTTAAGACAAGCCTCTATACCTCTATAACTCCGCTGTTGAAGCCATCATATGTTCAATAGTGTTTTTCTTTGATAGATAATCAAATTCTATCAGTGAAGTTAAAATGCTTGAAAACTTATGCTAAATAATTAAAGCTAACGGTGGTTTAGTAAAATATGAAGGTTGTCTTGAAACCGTATTTCCAGATATTAGTTTATACTTATCACCAAGATGACATATGTGAAGTTTATATGGTGTATGTATGTTCGATTATCTTCAATATAGTTTGTTCTAGTCTTCGTATTTTTAGTAAGGTTGTTTTCTACAGGATGGCGTTTGTGACCCTATGTCCAACCCTCGTCTCATACTGGATCTTGGGACCGGCAGTAACCCTAAAAGTGCTACAAGATGACATAAAAATAGTACTATTGTATGTAACTAAAACTTGCAGAACTACTATAACAATCATCAAAACGTACGAGTATCTCAAAACAATCGTCTAGTCAGGATACTCATTATCTATTTATCGGATATCATCAACAACAGCTTGTTGTGGGAGTGAACAAATCACCTACCATCTGAAGAGAAAATGAATAAGACATACATTACAGAAATCATCAAACTGCATCACGAAGCATGTCTTAACTTAGAATCATGAAAGGAAACAGACAAATAGAAAGGTCAAAATACATACTCCATCGAGAACTGGAAGAAGATATAAAAAAAGATCAATAGCAACTGGAAACATTTACCTAAGATAAAAAGTGGTGGATATAAAATGCTAGTGGGCAGTCTATCTTCCATCACAAGAGGTGACAGACGCGAGTAAGTAAGTAAGTAAGTAATTACCTTCAATATGTAAAATATTAACAGTACATTGATAAACAAAATTCAGTATCTCAACGGTTAGGATCATGAGTCAGTTGAAGCTAGACCATTATGGAAAACCTGGAAGCACTCGACAGCTTTTTCGTCTTATTGTGGAACTACTCAGCAGTGCGTATCCACGATCTTTCCCGCGGCGAGATTCGAACCCAGGACCTATTGGTTTCGCTCTCAAGTGCTTAACATCTACACCGATGAGCCGGCATCTAACGGTGTTAATTCCTAGCTTCAACCAATACATGAAATTGAGCAACACATCCACCATTGTCATCAGTGAGTTACTATCTCACAACTGACCTGGTTGAATTCCACAGGTCACTATTTCCCACTAGAACTCTAGGAAATAACTCTTGGAGACAATCACTAGTGAGCATATGTTCATTAATATCAGAAGGGGTTTTGTGGATATTATAGTAATTTCAGTGGTTGAGATCATGAGTCAACTGAAGCTAGACCACCATGGAAAACCTGGAAGCACTGGACAATCGTTTCGTCTTATTGTGGGACTACTCAGCAGTGCTCATCCACGATCTCGTCCCCCCCCGCGAGCTTCACTTGACTTATGATCTCAACCACTGAAATTACTAGAATATCCACAATACCCCTTCTAATATTACATATATTAAAAAATTAATTACTATTGAATTACCTCTAATAAATTAAGTAAATATATAGCACCATTATTCATTAGAAAATAATCTTCACATAGATTTGAACCAATTATACAACACCATATTGATTCAATTAATGCATTAGTTAATTGAATTAATGGTTTATTATGTAATATAATGAATTGATGATTTGTTAATTGCTTTTCATTCAATTGAATTAATAAACGATATTGATTAGATTGAATTAATGTGAAACGTTTTATTAATTGTTTTAATAATTTAATAATTGAATGAATACCATCTATACCAATCAGTTGTTTTCTATATGGAAACAAACAAAAGAAAACAATATATATATATATATATATATATATATATATATATATCAGAACTCAGTTGCTATGTGGATAACGTGATGGTGTTTGATGAGAAACGGTACTAGTTTGGAGTCCTAAAGTGAACATCAATTTTGAGATGTAGGCACATTCAGTTGACGAGTCCCAAGTGGGACGAAACGCGCGTGTCCTGGATTTCATTATCCATTCTTGATTATTATGCTTGTGAATTAAGGTTATATCTAGACACTACGCACAGGATGCACATATGCAAATAAGGGACTGATCAATTGCATTTCTAAATATCAATGAGAAGATTCAAGTAAATAATACCGAGTGGTGTTTTTTTGTTTCTGATGAAATAGTTCTTGTATAAGCAGCGATAAATAGTGGCTAGTAGTATGATCCAGGATCTGCGTTTCGTTCCATATAAAACTGATAAGTTGGATGTCAAGAGAATCCTCGCGGAATTTAAATAAATGGAAAAGGTAACTGATCGATTATAGTCCCGAAACATTCGTAACAATATTCAAATACTTACTTACTTACATTTGTTACTCCTAGCGGAGGAGCATACGCCGCTCACCAGCATTCTCCATCCAACCCTGTCATGGGCAAACCTTTCCAGCTCTCTCCAGTTGTTATCCATCCTTTTCATATCTGCTTCTATTTCCCGACGTAATGTGTTCTTTAGCCTTCCACTTTTCCCCTTCCCTTCACGATTCCAAGTTAGGACGTGCCTCGTGATGCAGTTTGATGATTTGCCTAATGTATGTCTGGTCCATCTCCATTGTGCTTTCCTAATTTTGTCATCAGCTGGAAGCTGGTTTATTCTTTTTCACAGTAAGCTGTTACTGAGGGTGTCCGGTCAACGGACATTCAGTATCTTACTTAGACAATTGTTTATAAATACTTGTACCTTTTTAATGATGGTTGTAGTAGTTCTTTAAGTTTAAGGTACAGTAGAACTGTTTTGACGTTTGTATTGAAGATTCTGACTTTGACATTGGTTGACACTTGTTTTGACTTCCATACGCTCTTCAGTTGTAGGAATGCGGCCCTTGCTTTACCAATCCTCGCTTTTACGTCTGCATCTGATCCTCCTTGTTCATCGAAGATGCTTCTCAAATATTCAAATAACCAGTATAAATAAATTAAAGTTTATCCGATTTCACCAGTAGGGGTTCAACTAGGTTCAATGGCTAAGTGATTATAGAGACGGTGTTTCAAACGAAAAGTATTCTGTTCGAGCTTCTGGTCAGACATCAACTTGAGTGCAGTTACACGCAGCTGACGAGTCACAAATAGCCCGAAACGCACATCCTGTATTTCACTGCGTGCCACCATCCATCCCTATTTATAGAATGCTTGTGTCTTAATCGTAATACCGAGGCTGTCTGTGCATATTCTAAACGAGATTGATTGGTCACAATCTTAAAAATCAATGAGAAGATTTCATCAATCAATACAAACGGGTTTTTTTATGGTTATAATACTTGACCGTGGCTGAAATACTCTTTCCTTTAGATCAGTCGGAGGATGGTAATAATAAAAGCGACAAACCAAAGATCCAATGATAAAGAAATGTTGTTAGATGTACAGTAGTGTAGTAGCAGTAAGATATTTTTCTGAAAAAAACCAATAGTTGTCCCGATATTGGATCCCAATAACGAAATCAAAGGATAAGAAAATATTAACCGTAAAAATAATACAATTCCCTTCACTCCATAAAATTTTCTTTTCCTGGTTTTAAGGGGTTGAAAATATAATCTAATACATCTATGAAACTACTTATTGAAAGATCGTTTGTGTTGGGGACCACGTGGTTATCCCTTAAACTCTACAGTTATACTTCTAGGACGTCAAAATCACATTTGATGCAGTTTCTTGTTCAGTTAATTTCTTCTGTTGGTGTGGACAATCTGGGAGTGACAACTGCTCATGTACTCCTAACAACAATGGAGATTACCTTGTTCATAAACAAACCTCATGCTAAGTACAAAATACAATTTCTTCTACTTCTACTATTGAACTTTGTCACCTATCTTGGGATACTTAAACAGAAAACAATACAGTATTTAATACGTTTAATACTAGTAAATAGGTGAGAAACTATTAATATATTCAGTTTCACCTATATAAAATGTTAGCTGTCAGTGGACTTAAAAAAATATGGTTAATAGATGGAAGCCTTTTTGAAGATTGTTCAATTCTATCGAGTTTATTTGACGTATTGACTGTAACTGAACAACCAATCAAAACTCAAAAGTATTACACAGCTGATTCGACTATTTATCTTTGAGAACTCATAACATCATCACAAGGATCTGAATTCAGGATCACTAAGTCCTACAGTGACCACTTTAACCTTCAGATAACTGATTCAACACTTAATGGATTTTCAAATTTCTTGAAGTACAACACCAAGATCTGGCTCGTGTTTACTTTTTTTTAAAAAAAATTACAAGCATTCAATGATACAATATTTACAAATAAACTACCTTTCAGGTGCTGTACCGCATAGTTTTGACAATATAAGTAATATATCACATTGCATTTCTAATCCTACATTATCCTCTTCCATAATCTCTTTTGTTTGTTTTAAATATTGTTGATAGTCTGAATAGATGGTTTGTGAATTATTTTCTTTGACAGAATGTTTTTCAGTGAACAATAGATTGCCAAATTTGAATAATTCATCATGTGATCGTTCTAATTTTACTCTTGATGATATTGGACAAATTAATGGTATAAGGAATTGAATTAAACCTTGACAGACAAAATCCTGTTTGTTTGTTTGTTTTTTTCAACAAAAAAGAGATAAAAAGAAAGGTGTAAAAAAGATCTTGTAAAGAAGTAGTATACCTGGAAACACTGAATGGCCTTTTCATCTCAGTATGACACTCCTCAGTAGTGCGCATCCACGATCCCGCCTCTTCCCGCAAGATTCGAACTCATACTAGAACGAAACGGTCGTCCAGTGCTTTTAGGTTTTTCATGGTGGTCTAGCTTCTATTGACTCATGATTTCAACTATTGAAATTCCTAAAATCTCCACAAAACCCCTTCTGAAGTAGTATACTTTCAATCAAGTTTCTTTTATGAGAAGAGCACCATGAAAACTTAAATTAGTCAACAAGACAGTGTATCTTTATCAGACTGGATTGGTTGACATATATCTTATGTTAATCTTATCACTGGCATACTTCGACAGACAGTGATAGTAGATGTAAGAGTAAATTAAATGAAAATTAGAAGCGGTCAAACTAAGATTTGTTATCAGTATATTGAATGTAAATTTAAGTCATATCTGTCAGTGAGTCAGTCGGTCAGATACAACGTAGGACCAGACACATATATGCATCGGTCCAAGTTGCAACGCCTCATTAATACAACAACATGAACATAAAATTTATAGAAGTAGTTACTTCAGTGGTAGTAATATATAAAAGAAAGATTGTGTATAAGGATATATTACAGGAAGAAAGAATTAGTTGGTAGAAAGAAATGTGTAAAGCAATTTTAATCTTACGCTTTAAGGGAAGATAGTGAGTGTATACACCTACTACATTGTGTTCGATTCTGAACCACCGAGTCTTCAACTATTGATTACGATAGAAACACGGACCTCAACCAAGTAGTTTGTATCTACCAACATGACTACGACTAGAAATTAGTGACTTCAAGCACTGAAACCATGCTTTGGTTTGGCCACCCCTAACTTCCTTTCAACCAGCCCCAACACTAGTTAGCATTGAGCGTCGTGGTAATCGATGATTGGGCATGCATGATACGTAACCCAACCATCTTAGCCTATATAGATTCATAACCTCACTAACTGATTTACCATCGTTCCCTAACAGCCTGCATCTAACCTCACTATTACGTACCCGGTGATCCCATCATATCTGTGAACTATAATAAAAAATTTCAAACCCGAATAAAAAGTCGTCTTAGCTATCAGCCATAGTGATCGAGATTATCTCATGACAATATTTATTTTAATCCATATAAAATTTACGAAATAATGAAGTATAAGATGATGTTTGATTACAAATCGAAGTGGTTAGTCGAGGTAATTTATCTTTCAACCTTGGAGTGATCATTGGATGTGTGGAAAACATTAACTGTAGTCCACCTGCATTAAAAGTTAAAACTGTTAACGGCTCCATTTTAGCTCATTTAATTCAAGCGAAACACATAGCCAACATGGAGCAATATTTCACAATAATATATCGTATTACCACCAATCCACCTAATTCCGTCAGACTGTCAGTCAGTCAGCCAGTGACAACGTAGAACCTCGTACGTACGTACATCAGTTCGAGTTGCCACACCACATTAGCACAGAAATGAAGTTGTCGAGTCAAATCCCGTAGTGGTATAGGCGGTAAGAGTATAAGCAGTAATCGGAAATATTAGGGTTTGAAGATGTTATTTAAAGAGTATAATCCAGTGAAATAAATTTGGAAAAAGAAAAAAGAAAGGGACATGAAGAATTCAGAAGATTTGAATTTGGGCAAACACAAAGAGTGGATGCATCTGCACCATTACTAACGATTTTGAGCCATGTCATTCAGGGTCTCTAACCATCGGTCGCTATCATCTCGCAGTCACCAACCAGGTAGTCTACACCTAACAACATGACTCAGTCCATTTGTCGGTCAGACAGAGACTCTTGCAGACAACTGAAGTAATTACTATTCGAATCTTGAGAAGATTAACATAAGTGACCTTGTGAAATTCAAATCGGTTACTAGCCAATCAAAATGTAGGTGGTAACAATGACTAGTCCATTGAAAAGAAAACCAAAATGTAACAATTTATGTATACTTATTATCTGTTGTATCAGTAGTTGCCACCTTTATAAATATCTTTTTAATCACATTCATAATAAAATATAACCTATCTTTCATTCGACTTTGAATTTTGCGCGAAAATCTTTGAAGTGTTATCTTGATTCTAATTGGTTCACTCAAGGACATTTGTATTATCATAGACTTTTACCGTTATAATATTAAAAATAACGTTTTTATTTTTTATTTTTTAAAATTACCGTAATAATACGTTCATCATTCGTTTCAACAAGACTTCTTATTAAACGTAATGAATAACGTAATTGTGCTCGTTTACTATTACGACCACCAATACCATGGAAACTATTCCCTTGTCCAAGAAATGGTTCTGTTATGAATAAATAAAGAAATGAAAGAAAGAAATGAGGTTAAGTAATTTCAAGGTGTTTTACAGTTTGTTTCAATGTGATAGGGAAAGATAAACTTAGTTAATTACTGACTATTGTACTTTATAGGAAATGATGTCCAAATAAAGCATATTAGGATTAATAATATTCAGTTTAATGTTAAATTGTTGGAAACAATCAATAGAAAGTCTTGAACTAAGGTATCCTATTAGTTGACATTTATTAATAATGTTTGTCTGTATTCATGAATCAACTAAATGATAAAAACGTGTATCATTCAGCGTGACAGCAAGCGATTTTACCACTGAACAATTCAGTTTGTTTTTGATTGAGATCATGAACCGATTAATGTTAGACAATCATTGAAAACGTAGAAACACTAAACGATTGTTTCGTCCTAGTATGGAACTCCTTAGCAATACGCGTCTACGATCCTGCTCACGGGATTTGAATCGAATACATATCGGTCTCGAGCGCGAACGCTTAACATCTAGACCACTGAGAAGGCATCCAGGTTTTTCATGGTGGTCTAACTTCAATTGACTCATGAATTCAACTATTATATCACTATAATATACACAAAACCCCTTTCTGATTGTAATCATATATTTGATATATGATATTAATAGCTTTTTTTCATAATTAATAAAATTTTATTGTTTGATACTGGAGCAAGCGGGGACCGTGGATGCGCACTACTGAGTAGTCCCACAAGAGGATGAAACGGTCGTCCAGTGCTTTCACGTTTTCAGTGGTGGTCCAAGATCAATCGATTTATAGTCTAATGATCTCCATATCCACATACTAATAATTTAGTTTGTAACTGATTTGTACTGATTAACCACTGATAATTAACAAATATTAATAATGATTAAACAGTTCATATATGTTGACAAATCATTGGACGACAGTTGACAGACTCTTTCTAAGTAAAGACCAGTGTCAGGCAAGGTTGCTTACTCTCACCTCTTATCTTTCTCTTGTTAATCGACTGGATTATGAAGACGCCTAACAATAACTTTAAAAGATGGTTGGGGAATATAGTGAATTGGTTGAAACTAGAAATGTACGTATGGAGTAGATCAAAAAGGATGAGGAATAATAAGGGCAGCAATAAAAAATTATATATCAACAAAAGCAAGTAATAAAAGGGGGTCTTTTTACCTCTATGATCAATCAGAAACGTACGACAAATGGTCTACTTTCAACCCATACTGTAATTCTTCGAATTTAGCAACTTTTTGTTCTTATTACCCTAGTGATGTTATCTTGTACGTCTATTTTGAATAGCAAAGTTTAAAATCTAGGTGATCTGTCTAATCGTTATCATTATGGAATTCTGCAACAGTGAAATTTAGACAATGTTTCATTTCTCTCATTGTAATAATCCTAACCCACTTATTCTAAGGAATTAACTCATATCAGTCAGTGAATATGAATTATTTGATAGTACAAACTATTCAAACTATAATAATCATATATTTTAATAGTTGAATTATTGAGTCGATTGAAGCTATACCTTCATGAAAAACCTGGAAGCACTAGACGAACGTTTCGTCTTAGTAAGGGACTCCTCATTAGTGCGCATCCATGATCCCACTCTATGGCTTCGAAGTCAGGACATATCGGTCTTGCGCACAAACGCTCAACCTGTGGATCACTGAGTTGGCATGCAACGGTGTTATTGTCTAACCAGTCTACGAAATTGTGCCACCGTCCACCATTGTCTTCAGTGAATAACTGCCTCTACAACAGACACGGTTGAACTCTACTAGTCACTGCTTCTTAGTAGAACTTCATGAAACACCTCTTGTCGCCAGTCGTTAGTGAGCATATGCTGATCAGTATCAGAAGAGGTTTTTGTGAATATTATGTAATTTATTAGTTGAATTCATAAGTCAATTGAAGCTAGATCATCACGAAAAACCGTTTTTTCCTAGTATGGGTCTTCTCAACAGTGTGCATCCATGATCTCACCCGCGGGTTTCGAACACAGGACCTATCAGTCTCGCGCGTGAACGCTTACTCTCAAGAATTCAACTATTTCAATTATTTTAATTGTTTGTTACTCAACCTATTTGAATGAATGCTAATCCACCTTACCTGGACTTATACACCATTGTAATAAAATTAATAATCTTGATGGAATTCCATAATTTAAACAATCATCCAATAAATATGGAGCTAAAATAGCCAATGAATCAAGCATATACAAATGTAATTCTTCTAAATATGCTTGTGGCCATTTACGTATTAAATCAATTTCTTGTTTACATTGAGAATTATCATTTCTATTCATATTCTCTTCATCGTTGTATAGATCTGATCGTTGAATATCTTGATCTGAATTTTCAGATATCTTCTCTATTGTTAATGTTTGATTAAGACTATTGTAGTTATCACCATTAATGATGTGATCTTTTATATCTGATGAATAGGAATTACAATTTTTCAATGGTAAATATGAAGATTTTAAGTTATTTGATTGATTTACATTGGATGATTGTGTTGGATTGGCGTTTAGGTCAGATTTGATTTGTTCATGTTGTTGTTGTGGGTTTGCATGTATCACTGGACATATCCATTGAAATAAACCTTTAATTAGACCTGATGTAGACATAGTCTAAGATAGAACAAAACAATGGATATAGTTAAACATGAATTTGTAATAAAGAGTTGATTAAGTACAATCAGATCAGTTCAAAGTTAAAGAGTGTACATCAAACTCAGTGTGTTGTTTGTAGAATGTATGTTATTATTTGCAATGATGTAAACATCTTTTATTATGGTTACCAATAGGATTCGGAATTCGGATGAGGTATTTAGTATTTATGCTTAGACTTTAAGATCATTATGTGTAGTTAAGGGCTTCAAGGTTAGAAGTATGATTAGTGATTCAAATTCATCATTTGAATGTGAACACTGAAAGTAGAATACATCAAGCCTGAACATTAGACTTATTCCCAATTTTTCGTCAACTACATTTCATTGGGGTCAATGGGTCAATTTCCCAAGAATAGACTGGTATACATATGAATGAGTATGTTTATCTGATTCGGCAGTACAACACACTTTCTCAATCAAGTAATCAATTAGGGGTTTAATGCACAGCCTACTTTGTATCAGTGTCAGATTTCGGACATCGCACGTCACAATAAAAAATCTCAACAGATATAACTCAACCTAGTTTTTAATTACCCGACCATTGCTCCTACCTTGATGTAGTGGTTGGGATAACCTATCGTAGTGAACCGATCGAGCTATACTAACTAGAACAATCGTTCCTCAAGGTTCTACCATGCCCGACAGGTCGGTTGAACAGCGGTATGACTAAAAGCAGCAAACCCAAGGTTCGAGGGTCAAGTCGTACTCCTGCTTGTACAGGAGTGGGACGTCAGTAAGCTGTTTCCTTCAGACAACCAGCATAACAACGATCCTGCCTTCCCACAAAGCAGGGTGGGGTTAGAAAAGGTCAACTTTAAAAATGAACACCTCACCTTATCCAACGGATATCCATCTCCGCTGGTAAGGTCCCAACAAATATGGAGCTAACACTGAAACTAACCACAAAAACGTCGTGTGTGATTGGCCTCAAGCAGTTGTCCCTTGAACACTGCGGTCACGCTCTCAGGTCACTAAGACAACCTCTGTCCCAATTTCTATTCCAGGTACCTCTCTCTGACTTACTGGCTGACTGATTTGTTAGTTAATATCATGTTATTCACAATTAGAACTAAACATAAATATAAAAATGGATGATTCATTTAATGGAATGATACTTACATAAATTGCCGCTGGATCATGACATATTTCAATCAGTATTGAAAGAATTAATCGTTTCATATCGAAATTTTCATCATTTGGTAATAATTTCAAATTTTTATACAATGGATTCATACATTTAACTAAATGAAAACAAGATTGAAATAAAAAGGGAAGAATTTAGTTTGATTATGTAATCTATTGTTAATTTTAAATGAATATACAAGATGGTGGTTGGAGCCAGTCAACATAGTGCAAACAATGTTGAGTCATCTAGACTGATGGCCACATTGTAACTTGGTCGATAGGATTTGATCTGCACTATGAAGAACCTGACATACATGATATTGATCATCACCCAGTGATCAATCAATTGTAAATAATCTGTATATCAGATGGGTTTTGTGGAGATTGTAGTAAAATCAATGGTTAAGATCATGAATCAGTTGAAGCTAGAACACTATGGAAAACCTGGAAGCACTGGAGGTCCGTTTCGTCCTATTGTGGGACTCCTCTCTATACTTAAAATTTTTTTTTAAAAAGGTCATCCTCTAGTTTTTTTACTAGGTGGTATATTTATATTGATCGAAAATATCGTACTGTTTATTATGACTGGTACTCATTGGTTAATGCGTTATATTTACAGTCATTAAGTAGCTTGTTCGAACCCCACCATATCCACATAAGTCTTGGTAACAAAGTAATATCAATATTCTTCGCATGTAGAATGTGGGTCGCAGCCAAGTATGTGGATCTATAATTGCCTAGTCAGTTAGTCCATAAAAACAAATTATCTCAATATATTGAAGAATAACAATAATTAATGGTGTTAATTAGGTTGAGAAATGGTGGAGAAGATTTGTAGCTCAGGTGGGTGATTTTGATGGAGTTTTGTTCTCTGAGGTGGATGGTTTGGTCGTGGAGCTTTCATCGTTCTTCTGAACGACATCATCAGCACAAACTTCAGATAGAAGTGAAGTGTTCGAATTTCTCAATATGCGTTTCACAGCTTGTTCTGTACACCTCGACGTTGATTGGTTCTTATTGACCTTCAATTTGTCATTGTTTACTTCTTTGTTTTGGTTGTGTCTGCCATTGGTGGGAGACCAAACCATCCAGTTCAGAGGACAAAACTCCATCAAAAAGTTGAGAAATTCGATAACCGGCACGTTCCTTAGTTTAATTTGTTTTTTCAGCGGTTAGTAGATCCACTGAAAGCTTATAGAAAGGATAATGTAGAAATACAATCATACAATTATTTACTAATTAAACAATAACAATATTAGTAATGATGATAATCAGATGAAACGTTTACATATATATCAATGTGTGTACATATATTTCTTGATTCGGTTCAACTAATAAAAGTCTCTTGATCACTCTTGGTTTGATCACCCAGTGGACAGTTGGTCTTGTGCATAGATGTTTCTCATTGTAGAGATCATGAGCCAATTTTAAGTTAGAAAACTATTTAAAACCTGAGAGCATTATATGGCTGTTTGTTCCTAGTATGGAACTCAAAAACAGTGCGCATCCACAACCTCCCTCATGCAGCAATCAAAACCCAAGACCTTTGATTTGCTCCAACGCTTAACCTCTGAGCTAACATTCTATGACGGTAATGTCTAATTTAATCAATCCATGATCGCGTGCTTAGTGGTTTGTAGGTAAAGAGTTTGCGCAAAATGAAAGGTCCTGGGTTGGACTCCCGCGCGCAGAATTATGGGTGCGCACTGCTGAAGAGTCCCGTAGTAAAATGAAATGGCCGTCCAATGCTAACAAATTTTCACTTGCGGTTCAACTTAAATCGGCCCAGTGATTTCAAGCATGAAAATGTCACAATCTCCTTAAATCAACCATATACACGTTTTGGTTCTAATTTTGGTTCATAGCAAATTTTTATCTGTAGTTAATACTTTCTTCCTTCGAATCGTATCTTAACACTTTTTGTTCACACATGATACTTCATTCTTTTTGACGATATGATTTGTCTAAACTGTACAGATTCATTTATAGGCAAATCTTTTTCATATTTAATAATTCATAGTGAAATAGAGGTAGTTTGTGGTGGATGCTACTTATGCTGGCAGATATAAGTAGTATGTGTCAGTAATTGAAAGTGGAATACTTACCAGCAGAAGTATGGATTAAAAAGAACAGGAAGGGAGACAGAGAACAACTAAGATAACAACAAAATCGAAACGATCATGAAGCATATGAATGACAATTGAAGAGAAATGTGAAACTAATGATTTTAATGTATGATTTTCAGATTTTACCAAGACACTGTGTAAATTCGTCGAAACATTAAATTGTTTACCTGCACCGAAGTTCTCATTTACTTCATTGTTACTAATGATCAAAGATAATCAAACGTCTAGTGCTAGAGTTGAATGTAAAAGTTTATGAAAATGAAGAGGTACTCCATAATTTGATCAATTTTTTTAAATTTTGGAATAAAGTATGTGTTCGGTCATTGAGTAAAATGATGTGCTGTAGCACCTCGAACTGATGTACGTACTTACGAAGTTGTACACTGTTACTGATTGACTGACTTATTAAGAAATAAATGCATAAGACAACTGCCTACTTTACAAAAGAGTAGACGATGAATAGTAAGATGATAATTAAAATTAGAAAGATAGGTAAGACCATAGAAAAATGAAAGATTGGACATAACACTTTTATACACAGAACTTGAGTTTATAATGGTAAACTGCTATAATTTCAGTCATGCTTAAATTCCTAATCTAAGCCTTCTTCAACCTAGTTTCTTTTTACTCTACATATGATCTTGAACGACCCCATTTTGTGATTGCAAGTGACTCAAACCTACTGTGTATTTAAGGATTGAGTTATAGATCGGTTTGCATTTCCTGTTAGATACCTATTCAGGATAGTATTCGGTTATTTATTTACAAGGTATCAGTTTTTTTAAGATCAATATAAAGTGCTTCAGAAAAGCAAGTAAACTGATAAATAAACATTGAAGTAGCCAAAAACGCCAGTTTATCCTTGAAACTTTCATGAATGAGTTCTATGATGGGGAAAACAATAGGGACCTCTAAAATGACAGTTTTGTGTAGACTATATATGTTTTAAAATTATTCTTATTGTATGGCAATTTCTTCCTATATCTTGATCATCTCATATACAAAAACCTAACAATGACTCGCCATCATGAACGAAAGTCTACTTTACCGAATGTTTTCAATTGTTGCAATCGAATTATTCAGATTCATTTACACTTTGTGACAAAAAATGAAACTCAAATCATTCCTAATAATAATAAATACAATTGATGGTGATTAGTATCAGAAAGGGTTTTGTGAAAATTTTAGTAATTTCAGTTGTTGAGAGCATGAGTCAATTTGAAGCTAGACCACCATGTAAAACCTGAAAGGACTGGATGGCCGTTTCATCCCATTGTGAGACTCCCTAGCAGTGCGCATCCACGACCCCGCCTCGCGCGCGAGCATTTAACCACTGGACCGCTGAGCCCGCCGGCATCCAATGGTGTCAATTTCTATCTTCAACTAATCCATGAAATCGAGCGATATATGCACCATTGTCATCAGTGTGTTACTATCTCACAACGGACCCGGTTGAACTCCACTGGTCACAATAGAAAGAAACGCTCGTTCAGTGTTTCCAAGTTTTCCATGGCGATCTGGCTTCAATTGACACATGATCTCATCTATTGGAATTACACTTGATGTTGTTTACTTATATTTTCCCATTGTTGTTGGTTCCTGTGAGGACTACCTCAATTTTGTCTTATGTCATAAGCTTTATACGCAAAGATGGATAGTGGCTAGCAGTGGAATACAGGAAACGCGTTTCGTACTATGAGAAGATATAAACAATCAATATCAAGTAAATTTAGACTTCATCACAATACACATGCAAGTGTCTATCAGGACTTAGTAGCTAAGTGGATAACATGATAGCATTTAAAGTGAACAGTACTGGGTTCGAGTCCAAAAGTGAACATCAACTTTGAGATACAGATACATCCAGCTGACGAGTCCAAAGGAGGACGAAACGGGGGTCCTGTATAATTTTTGCCACCAAAAACAATGAATCAATCAATTTTTTAACAATTAACAAATTTTAAGAACTTACATTCATCAAATGTTAATAATTGTACTAATCTACGTATTAAACCAGATTCAATTAAACGTATTTGTTTTAATAAACCATAAGTATTAGCATGTTTTACAACCAACAATATTATTGTTAATATATCATTACGTAAATGACGGCATAGTTTTGAATGACTTTGAGCCAATAATGTAAAAAACATATCACGAAGTTTCAATAAACATTCCTTGGTAATATAAAATACAATAGGAATAATATGAAGTATACATTGATATATAAAGAAGAATGACAAGAATAGTTTATTGAATGGATCTATGAGTGCGATATTAGTAAAGTGAACGAGAATGCAATGAATAAAGATGATTATCTTCTGAACATAGAAGAAAGTTCTAGGTGATGAACCCATTCGTATTCTACTACAAGTTTTACTTACAATTCAAACTTCTTTAGTTACATTCTAGATTGGTTGTATTACATATTTTATGGTATATTCGATGATAATAATGAACTTAAATAACTGTTTCGAAAGATAATCAAGGGTGTTAGTGGTTTCTTTAAGTCTTTATAAGTCTTCTCTATTCATTCACTGCTAGTAATCCACAGAAATGAATATATAAAGCTTGTAAATCAGCACTTGTAATAGGCGATAGCGGATGGTGGTGCAATTTCATGGATTGGTTGAAGTTAGAGATTAACACCCTTAGATGTTGACTCAGTGCTCTAGAGTCTAGGCGCTTGCACGCGATACTGATAGGTCTTGCGTTCGAATCCTTCGAGCGACATCGTGGATGCACACTACCGGGGAATCCCATACTAACACGAAACAGCCGTCCAGTGATTCCAGGTCTTCCATAGTGGTCTAGCTTCAACTAACTCATGAATTCAACTATTATATTTTTCAATGAGTTGTAAATTACATTTTCTACCCCTCATACATTGTTAAATCACTTGCATTGATTAAAGATGATCATCTTCTGAATACAGAATAGAGCTCTACGTGATGAGCCCATTTGTGAGCTGGTAATCCACTGTTGATGCATCCATGCAGAGATCTCAGTATATGAAAACAAATTGGGGACAGAAAAGCAAATTCTTTAAAAACCTGAAACGAATTAGAATTTAGTTGACTAACCTAAAATGAATTGAGTCGGCATTCAATCATCAAAGTTGGAATTGTACAGTCAAACGCTGACACAGTCATTTTAACTGTTAAGTATATTGAGCCCAACTCCTGATTGGACTATGAGACTTAACTGATGATGAATCCTATACTAAGATAAACATCTGTCCATTTCTACCTATCTACCTATCTCTGATTTCAGTCAATTCGTAATATCTCACAAACATACTCCATGTTTCATATTATGAAATTCACTAATCTTTATAAGTGTTCTCCATAAACCAAATATCCTCGATGAATGTTAACTATGATGATAGTTAAGTTCATGGAATTCTGTTAATTATTAACTAACTATCTACCATTTATCAAATTATAAAATTGTAATATGTACCTGTCATATGAAAAGTAATGATATCCTTAAGCTCTTATATTTAAAACTGGATCTGTTAGATAACTGTTGGAAATGAATGCTAATAAATAAAAAGTCCTGACGATATTACAAAACGATCTATAGAAATGTCAATCAATTGTCTCAAACTTGACTGTTCGTTTTACAGATACCATTCAATCGTCTCAGACTTCATTGTTCTTGAATTACCATATCAATTGCTTTCTGTTCCCGTTCTTTCCTCCTCGATCTTCTTGAACGAATGTTGCCAGACATTCTATTTTTGATTAGCGTTATATACTACTTATGTTGGTATAAGTAGCAGTATTTTTCAGGGAAGATGCTACTGGGCTTACGACCTTGGGGTATTAGCATCTTTGCCTATGTGTATACTATGGAGTGTATAGGCCTTGGGTTTACGCATTTTATATATGCGTGTATCGTATACTTGTGAGCGAAAAATTTTATGCCTATAATACATGTAAAATATACTAGCAACGGCGCTCGTCTATGCCATGATTTATATCACTGAAATGTATGTATCTTTGGTACCTGTATTTGAATACATGCATATAAAGCATACTTGAGGATAGTTTCCACGTTTCTCCACTGGTTCACTCATTATTAGCTCATCAAAGCTTCTGATTTACATAAAAGTTTCCAAAGATAGTAAGAAAAGAGAAGTATAAGCTAATGATAATACGTCTTTTTGGTGGAGTTTTGTTCTCTGAGCTGGAGGGTTTGGTCGTGCTCAGAGAACAAAACTCCACAAAAATCATCCACCTGAGCTACAAATCTTCTCTACCATCTCAAGATAATACGTCTGCACTACATAGTGTGGGTCAAATTAATTATCCATACTACTGATATCCTAATCTCTATGTACATATATATTCTCCAGTATCCACTTGCATTATCTTTTCAAAGCTTTTCTCTACCTAAAAAAAAGTCATGGAAATTCACCATTCCCATCGAATGGGTAACTAAAAACAAAATGGAATGATAGATTCACTTACTTCACTTCCAATTTGTTTCATCCATTCTATTTTCATTGGATCGCTTGTTGTATTCTCAATTAAATTCCAAAGTATAGAGATTGATCTTGATAAGAATTCATTTGATATAATTGGTAATACTAATCGATTACAAATGAATTGAGCGCCTAATTTTAATATAATTTTATTTGAACAAACTTCTATCATGATTATCATATTTTGTAGATATAAAAGAAAAATACCAATTTACCGGAATGTTTAGTTAGTTTATCCATTATTATCAGTATAGTTAAACAAAGAGCATCAGATTGATCTATTTCACAGTAACACTAATGTTCGGAGATAAAGGAATAGTATTGTGTAGAAAATGCAAATCAGTGTAATCAATGTGACTTACTTTTAATAAAGATTCAATAATATCACTATGACAAACAACTTTCTGATTGAACTTTTTTGTTGTTGGTTGTACTTGACGCTCTAAAATAAGGAAAGAGACCGATGTTAGATAAATTAATTGGATTGATCAGTTGAGGGTTTGTGAAGATTGTTAAGTTTTTGATTGAAATCATTAGTCAATTGAAGCTAGACCACCATGGAAAACCTGGAAGCACTGGAAGGCGGTGTCGTCCTAGTATGAGACTCAGCAGCGCACATCCACGATCCAGCACCCCACGAGATTCGAACCCAGGACCTGTCAGTCTCGCGCCAGGCGCTTAAGGAACTAGACCACTGAGCCGGCTGGCATCCAATGGTGTTAATGTCTATCATCAACCAATCCACGAAATTGCGCGACCATCATCCATTGTACTGAGATAAACACTTGTTTCTACCCGACACAGATTAGCTCCACTGGTCACGGCTTCTCACTAGAACTCCGAGAATTTTCTCATGAAGCTAGTCACTGGTGAGTACATGAGAATATTTAGGAAAATGAAAGCGATTTACTTAATAAACAGTATATGTATATTATTTCTGACTTTAGTTAAGTAACCAATGAGAGCTGAGAAACACTGGAAAGCAATTTCGACCTGGCGTGAGGTTTTTTTTCAATAGTTTGGATTTCTGACTCGTATAATGATTGAACTTAAAGCGTAAAATTCTCGTAGTAAGAACTTTACTGTTAAACCGCTGCGCTGGGCAATGGCTAGACATCCCAATGTTCAAAATTTTAGATTCAAGTACCCTATCCATTTTCCTCCGTGAGTTCACCTCACGAATTTTTTTAAAATTTCATCAACCAGATGTTTCTTATGGAGCTTCAATCAATTCATTTTGAGACCAGTCAAAAGAAAGTATATAACAATTATGGACGTTTGGTGGAAAGATGTTTACAGTTTGGTCCCAAACTATGATTGACCAAGTGGCATTTTTATTTTTCGAAACGTAAAAATATGTTACCGATTACAATCGATTAGAAAAACGATGACCACATCTTATAGTCATAATATGTTTAACAGAACAGAAATGGAGAAGTTCTACTTAAATATGGTTCCATTTCAGTACCAAAAAACTAAATCACAGATGATAATTGTCCATCATCGAACTACTGTCATTGGTTGAACTAGTGTTTTTCTTTTGAAGAATCTAAAGTCGTTGTGACTTACAGTATGACCAGACGATCTTCAGCTTACGTTTGTGTGATATCATGACCATCATTAAGGGCTTCACGGATGTTTATTGTTAGTGCAAATGGTATCAGAAACATGAACGTAGTTTTATCTGTACGAGGTTGTAAAGATTGCTGAATTTTATTGAAATCACAAGTCAATATAAGTTGCACGACGCCGAAAACCCAGGAGCACTAGACGGTCGTTTCGTTTCACAACGAGACTCTCCAGGAGTAAGCGTTCGTTACCTTGCCTTGCTTATTTAACTACGCCTGTCACTCTTCGTGAAGAAGCATAGGCCACCAACAAGCATTTTCCATCGAACTCTCTCATAAACGATCCTTTCCATTTATTTCCGGTTGCTATTAATTCTTTTCATGTCTTCTCCGAATTCCCGATGTAGTGTGTTCTTCAGCGTTACTCTCTTTCTTTTCCTCTCAGGGTTCTAAGTTAGCGCTTGCTTCGTGATGCGGTTTGGTAATTTTTGCAACGTTTTTCTCACCCACCTTCAACGTCTTTTCTTAATTTCTTCTTTATTTGGAAGCTGGTTTGTTCGCTTTCCTGGTAGGTTGTTACTGATGGTATCTGACTAACGACCTATCCACTACGAATCAGATTAAGGGTCTTTGTTCTCGTGAGAAAATGGTTAAACTGAGCTGAAATCCGATGACGTGTAGGTCCAACTCCAAACAATCCATGATATTGCGCAACTGTCTTCTATTCTATTCGGTCAGTAACTTGTCCAACAATTCTAAGTTCTAATGAGTAGCCGTGAGCAACAAAGCTCAACAACGCCTAGTTTTAAGTGGTTATCCACAGTTTGGAATATAAAATGGTCACACAATATCGTGAATTGGTTAAAGTTAAACGCGTTCACTACTGGGTTTCAGATTAACAGTTCACAGGTTAAAAGTTTGTACGGGAGATCAAAAGTCCTTGAATCAGTCCTTGGTGACTTGATAGTGGATAAACACTGTTAAAGAATTCCATACTAGAACGAAACGATCATCCGGTGATGGTCTTACATTAACCGATTCATGGTCTCAACTAAAATAAGACAGATTAACATCATAGACTGGAACAAGCCTATAATAATAATTATTATCTATCTACAAATATTTAAATAACTATCTACCTTCAGGTATATCTTTTAATTGACTTTCTTTAAAATAGAACTGTTCCAATGAATAACAAACACTTGTACAGATCTCAACATTTTTCAATTGTAAAAGATATCCTATTAGACAAAAATGATTTAGTTACATAAATAGTGAACAAACCAAAGTGATTTATAAAATCTACTGCTACATTGAAATAATTCATTTCATCTGAACTAAAAATTTTCAAAAATGATTTGCCACATAATTGAATTAATTCAAGAAATATTTGATGATAAACATCCGGTAAATGTAGAACACGTTCAGCGCATACTTTTAAAATATTTTGATAATGTACAAGATCATGTATATTCTAAATTATTTGTTTTTTTAAAATAGTTTAATAAGTTAAGAAGAAATTAGCAATGATCATTTAAAATTTTATAAATAATGAAAAAACACAGATATTTGATGATCATTAATATATTGAATGTCTAAACAACACAAAACATTCACCATGAAAAACAAGAAAAAACTTTTGATTTAGATCATGAATCGATTGAAACTAGAGCATCATTGTAAACCTTGGAGCATTGAGCGCCCGGTTCGTTTTATTACAGGACTCCTAAGCGGTGTACTTCTACGATCCCACACACAGGATTCAAACCCAGGACCTTCGTGTTAGGACCCGAGAAACATAATGGATGGTAACTTTGGGATCCTTTTATGGACCAATGCTAAACGTATATTCTTATCGTATAATTGTTAAGTAACTAAACTATTCATATTCATGTTTCCCTTATCATAAGCTTTATTTTAACCTATGAACTGTTATTATGCGATTTTCAGTTCTTGGATTATTCCCTGTCTATTAATTCACAGCCACTTTTGGCTAAATATTGTGCAAATGTTGTTACATATTTTATGGTACGTTGTGGTCTGTCTGGTTGATATATAAACCGAGTATATTTGGAATAAATGATTCACATTACAGAGGCTGAGACTGATGTTCTGGACTAAACTGGCTGGACTAGACTGGAAGCGGAACCAATCAGGACTTTAGGCTGCTCGCATGTGTTTTATGCGTCACTGATTCGATAAACAATTCGTCGCTCTCTGACTGACGGTATCACTGCGTTATCCAATATACATGGCACGCAGGTTTACAAGTTATAACACTTCAGTCTCATGGGCAAACGCTAAACCTCTAGACCACTTAACAATCCCCACAACTTAGTGCTGATTATAATCGTCATATGTTCACTCGTGACTGAGTCCAAGATGACTTCTTGCAGTTCTGTTAAGAAGCCGTGACCAGTGAGGTTGTGGTGTTTGAATTAACTAATGATTCTTTTGTACTGGTTGAATGCTCGATTTCGAATTCTAAATACAGTACATTCGTTGTACCTGTGTCTTCTTAATTCAATTGCGTTAATCCTGGGATTCCTAATTCATACTTTAATTAGAATACTATATTGGCGTCGCGATGGAGCCTGCAATGGAAAAGTTAGATATTCATTCAACTTCAGAAGCTTTTGAAGATTACTTTGAAAGGTTCGAAATCTGGGCTATGACCAAGGAAGATGATGAGGATGTTAATATTGTGGCACACTTCCTCACATTCATTGGAAAAGAAGCATACAGCTTATTAAGAACTCTGGCTATGCCGGAAAAACCCATTTCGCTTTCTTATACAGCTCTCAAGGATCTACTGCTAGACTATGCTCAGTATACAAATTTCAAATGTCGTAAAGGAGGAAGATTTCGTAAAATGATTCATGAGGATATAAAAAAGTCCACTACATTACTACGTCATCTCAACCTAGTGCATACTCAAGGTTATGCAGACAATTCATTGAATTTGGATGCAGTTCACGAGGATGGGGACAAGTTTGGTCAGTGTTTGTCCTGTTGCAAGTTCCACTCTTCTAATTCATGTAAATTTCATAATTCTAAATGCTTCAAATGTCGTGATATTGGACAAGTTCAGTCAGTTTCTAATGCTAATGTTCATCTTACTGCAATTAATATTAAGTCTTGTAATTCTGATTCTACTGAGTCGAGTATTCATGATGATCATTTATCTTTATCAACGATTTCAAAAGACAGTTCAGAGTCATATGGCAGTTCAGAGTTAAATGAACTCCAGAATTCTTGTGAGACAACATTTCCTAATCAACCGATTTATCAGAATTCTCATGCTATTGTACCAAGTATGACTTTTCCTAATGATTCACATATTTCTAATGAAATTACTTGCAATTCTGAGGAAAATATGTTAAATGTACCTAATCATGATCGAAAACCTGATGTGGTTTGGATAGATGCTGATTTTTCTAACGATCCTACGCTCTGCAACGACAGTCCTGATGAATTTCATGAGAATATTTCAGAAGAATCAAATCCTGATGTCATATCATATATTACCTATCCTCATAATGTATTTGATCTTCGTGAAAAACCTGCCCAATGCGAAGCACGAGTACTAAGTGACCTCGAGTTTTATTATATTTCGGATGATTTCATATCAACTGCTGTTTACCCTTATCACAAAAACAGTTCTAATGTTTACTCTAAACAATGTGAGATATATGTTTTAAATGAAGCCACATTATTCATAACTTGGGGATATAAAGATCCAACATTATTTCGTGGGGGGGGGATAGTGTTGAAAAATCTATGGTTCGAATTCTAGATATTAATGATTTCATTACAAAACCGACATGCTGGTTGTATACAATTCCAGGTGAGTCTGTTCCGATTTCGTCTGTTAATTCCAATACTAATGAGCACTTTCTAGATACTACAAAGTTTTTATCTTATACAATGTCGGACAGACTCAGGATGAACTTAACAAGAAGACGTACAACCGATTACAAACACTTATACTTCTATTTAAGCTGTGGCGGATGTGGTGTTTGAATTAACTAATGATTCTTTTGTACTGGTTGAATGCTCGATTTCGAATTCTAAATACAGTACATTCGTTGTACCTGTGTCTTCTTAATTCAATTGCGTTAATCCTGGGATTCCTAATTCATACTATAATTAGAATACTATAGAGGTTCAATCCGTGTCGGGTAGAGACAGGTATCTACCTCAGACAATGGTTGCGCAGCCATTCATGGGTCGATCGTAGTTAGACATTAACACCGTTGGATGGTGGATCAGTGGTCCAGAGGTTAGGCGTTCGCGCGCGAGACCGAAAGTTCTGTGTCCGAATCCCGCAAGTATCATCATGAATGCACACTATTAAAGAGTTCAATACTTGAACGAAACGGCAGTCCAGTGCTTACAGATTTTCATTGGTGGTCTAACATCAATTGATTCATGATCTCAATCGAAAATTTGACAACCTTCACAACCCCATACTGATAGGGAAACTTTTGTTCGTGAAATTGTTAAACGTGGCAATTATGCATACAGTCAGTGATTTTTTTAGGTAAAGTAAAATTTCATTTTAATAAAAATGAGATCAAGCTATATAGGTACAGATCTTCAGAAGAAGAACAAATCATAAATGTGTTTCTTCTCACTGTTGATAAACAGAACTGTATTAGTGTGTGGGATCTTTTAACAAGCAGACGTATATTGTTTGATAGGTATTATAATTTTAGAGCCTGACGTTATGGGGTATAGGTGTTATAATTATATGATGCTTTCCAAGCAGTTCTGAACTCATATCCTTAATTCTGTTGAATTTTAACTGCTACTCGATCTGTATATCCTAATGACCTAGTTGGATCAAACGTCTGATGTACTAGAGTCCCATCGTACTGGTCGAATCTTTTTGAGGGCTATCAGACTAAAAGTAATAAAATTAAAGATCGGAGAATGGGCGCATTTCGTCGAACGTGGCAGAGTAAGATAGGTTTAACGTATTTAGTTTAGATAGTCGACTTTTGTAGTGATATTGACTGCCCATAACAAGAAAAGGAGGGTTTCAAATTATTAGTTCTAAAAATAACACATCTGACCTCAACCCGCAGATTCCCATTGTCGGTGGTGAAACCTGTAGACTACAGAGTTAAACATCCAGAGTTATTTTGATAAAGTTTTGTTCTCTCAGCTGGGTGGTTTGGTGGTAGATCTTTCACCGTTCTTTTGAACGACATCATAAGCATAAACTTCAACTCAGCTACAGAGGACTCTTAATATGTTCATAGGGCCAGAGCCAATAATATATCAGCTGACTACTGACATTCTCGTCTAGGATGCTGTATTTTTCAGAGACATCCTACAGAAGTTAGGATGGACAGGGACACTGCATCACAAATCAAAACAGAAATCTAAAAGGCCTTTGTACTTTTCAAAGGTAAGATGAAACCAAACCTTTTATTCAATGATAACTGTAGTTATCGTCACCATCAGTATATTTAAGAACTTACCATTCAAATGGACTATTCAGAATAATCTAACGGTTTCTAGAAATACTTGAAGACGAGTGTATACTATAAATTGAGTAAAATAAAAGTCAAAACACTAATGTATTCAAAGGATACAACACCAAGCGGATTTGCAGTCCTCAAATTCCTCAACGCTATTTTGTGCCTTTCATACATAAAATCCTAAAAAAACCAATGTGAAACAAAGAGTCTTACTGTATGAGGATCAGTAAGTAGTTTCAAAACTCTACAAATATCGAAATTATTCTTTTCCGCTCTACATGTGACATCGCTTTCGTTGAATGAAGCAACTGGACGAACAAATGTCGAAGGCAGATCTTTTCTTTGCTATCGGTATAGATAAATAATCAGCTTCTCAACATACAGATAAAGATATCATTTCTTTTTTTTCCTTTCAGCGGAAATCCATAGTCAGCGGCGAGTCGTAGGTAACATTTAAAACAAGTGTCAGCGCTTTCTATTACCAATATACTAATAATATCTTCGTACAAATGCTGCATTTGAGTTTGGAAATCTTTTTAGATCTTTAAGTAAAATCTTTTGAGGTCTATATATGCTGTCAGCGTAGAAATGTAAAATAAGAAGATATGGGAGTCTAGTAAACTAACTGTTCTGATATCGTTATATTACAGTTACTTCGCTTAGAAGCCATCATAATGTGGAACAGTCTCTCTCACATTCTGAAGAATCATTTGAACTATTACTTCAACCTGAAACCAGTAGGATATTGATTATTAATTGACAAATTTTATGGATGCAATTTACCATGACGTTCTTACTGATACCTTGGGGAACGAGGAATGAGAGTTCGGCTTACATTACCTCGAAGCTTCTTGTGAAAACTCTTCTTATACCTATGTTACGCTTACGGATCATTTTAATCAACAAAAAATCATCTACACAAAAATTTCGTTACTTCAAAAATTTATTGTTATAAGTTACAATGCAGTCACCCGTCTGTCTGATGAAAATATGTAAGAACTTGATGAAACATTGACGACTTTTTTGAGAAGTTCCCTCCTTTCAGCGTGGTCATAGTATACGGATCTTTGTTCTTCAGAACAGTTAGGTTAATTTTTACAGACGAGGTTACCTTAACAAGATGGGGTCATGTTCACATGTTATAGTTAATTGGCAAAAGTTTGGAAAACGTTCAAGGTGTTTGTGCTTTGATGTCTGTGGATAATATGAGTTTGGATAACGAGGTTGAGTGTTCGTCTTATCGAAAACACGTAACTGAGTTTTGTCTAAATTTGGAGGAACCAGTAATCACAGGTGGGTAAGTGAGTTCTTCCAATAAGAGCAGATTAACCTAACCTATTTTTATTACTGGTGTGTATTTATGTATTTCTCCTCTATGTCCTTCTGTACATTTGAGTTTGAACCGCAGAAATATGATCACTAAAGGACGTGTTAAATATGACCGGTCAAATGATTGTTCCTCATTATACTTCAGATACTGACATTCTCCATTTTGTGTGTGGAGGGAAAATAAATGTAATGGGATATTTGCAGTGTTTGTATGCACTATTGATTCTTTTGTACCTGATGGCTCCCTGATTTTGGATTCCAAGTACAATACGTTCGTTCGTGATCACGAAGACCTTCTTGGTCTAAGTTGCGTTATTTCTGTAATTCCTAGTTTGTGCAACAATTCAGTTACTTCTAAACATGACAGTATTTCACTACCTCGTTGTCCATCACCTGACCAAATCAAGCAATGAAAAATTAGATCCTTCGGAATTGTGAGACTTGTTCAGTTGTCCCACTTTAATTAAGTTTTTGAGAATTATTATTTGGCGATGTCAAGAGTGATATGATGTTTATCACTGTTGTTAACTTGATTGCCAATATTTAAATTTGGGTGTACAGCTTTAACGAAATACTTAAACTACCGTCTTCGTTAATGCCGTGATACGCCGAAGCACCCGTCAGAGGAACCTGACACGAACAGATTTAACCAAGACGAGTGTATGATGAATGAAAAACAGAAGTTGGTCACATGTTGCACTAGTGATAGGCTACAGAATCAGAGGGGAAACTCTTTCTCATTGTTGCTTAAATACTACTTCGAATACAGCAAACTCACAAGAATGTGTAGTATTCGAACTGGAATAGCTTCGTTAAGTACGTACAATACCGCTTCCGTTCTGTACAAATGCTACAATGCTTAAGAGTATTGAACAGAGATTGAAATTTCTGTAGAGGATACATTAGAAATGGAACACCTCTCAGTTTCTAATGTCATAGATATACATTTACACTGTAACAGAAAGGATAGTCGAGAACATCACTTCAAGGCGTTTTACTGTATAACATCGTTATCTTTTTGAACTTATACTCTGCCTTGTCTTTTAATTTTTATTCATTCATATTGTTCCGCATTCTTTTTATTCAACATTTTCGTTGTTTTGGCTTTGGTTGGGATTAGCATTTATTATTTGATTCGGTTGATATATGATCCCTGATCATTAACAGTGTTTGACAAGATTTAGGGTTGCAGATTTGAGCGGTTGACCATTCCAGTTGTTTGACTTCCTGTTGGAAACGTTTAATATCTTTATAGATAGATACTTCATGTTCTCTTGTTGAGAACACTTTTTGTTATTTTGAGGTATCTATTTCTTATCATTTTTTTTGCTGATTAGTACACATCGTTTTGGTTACGTAAAATAAGCTGTAACGTTTGAAATAATTTACACTTTCAGTATAATTTATTTGCGTTTTTGACTGGTACTAGCCTGTTTAAGAATAAGATTTTTTCCTATTATAATTTCACATGAGCGTGTTGTGAACTCTCATATACTGATATTGTTTAGTAATCTTGGACACTACTTCACTCAATATGTTGTAGTATTATGGTCTACTACGATATTAGTACTGCTCTAATAATAAACCTAATCCTAAAATGGTGGATTTGCTATGATGTATATAACTAATCTATAAGATCTTACATGAAAGGGACATCATTGTCTACACTGACTAATCGTGTCGTATCGTAACGATTAACAATATATTATGGAAAACACATTCAGGCTGGAGGTAGAACAGTATATTTAATAGGAGTAAAAGATATAAGATTACATTCAATAGGAAACACGCCTGCAAGACCGAGCCATGCCATCCGATCAACTCAAATTAATCGTATTCTTTCTTCTCCCTACACCATCGTTGGGTTTTTCTCAGCTGTCTCGTGTTCAGCTTTGAGTATTGTGTGGTTAGGGCTCGATGCCACTACAATGTCAAATATCTGAACACGGTTAAAGGGGAACGTAATTATACTCCAAACAAGCAAATTTGAATGGGAGCAGAAATCACAGTTAGATAAACTCTAGTCTTTTGAAAATCATGTTCGCATAAGAAGATTCTAAAAATTAAAATTTTGGTCGTGTCATTTACTGATATCTTCTTTAGTACTTATAAGCTTTTGATCGGTTCCATTATGAACACCGAATACTAGTTCTCAAAATAAGTTTTCGGTGTGAAACATCAATTGCTCGCTCTGTTGAACGTGGTTGCTAATCAAATTGAGCTAGTGAAGTTTGCTAGTTTTTTTACACCCAGACCCCATTTTTGAATAGTAACCAAAAGGTCAGCTAAAATTATTTTGAGTATGATATGATAGCAGTTATCAAGTAACATTTAGATTAGATTGACAGCCACATGTTAAGACACATAATGGTCGAGTTTTGCAATTTAGACATTTATTTCCGAGTAAGCATAAGAAGTAAAGTACCTTTCAGATAAACTTAAATCCAGCTTAAAATTACTTCACGATTCTTATCTAATTCTTTAAATCCTTAATCAGCTTAGACAATATCAGACTACAAACCCGTATTCAAACTTTATCATGGAGAGTTTGATATCACAGTCGTTGTTTTGTGCAGGCCGATATAAAGTCATAAACCTAATTACCGTTAAAGATACATAACATATATCTAATGAAGTCGAATAAAGTCTGATGAAAGAGTATTCAGCCTATTTGCCTTTCAATTTTATCATCCTCTTGACTTTTTATATATTTTGAGCGAATATAAAGTGGTCATATTATATGTAACTACGTCTTGTTACAGCCTTAAGCTCTCCGTGGTTAATAAAGACTGAATTGGATGTCATAAGATTGAAGTTGCACAATCAAACATATTGTTATTGTTTTTTTTCGTGACATATTAACTGTGATCCTATGATTATTTTTCATTGTCTATTGATGTATGGTGAAAACAAGACCATAATTGCTATTCTTAACATTGTAGCGGTGAATAAATCACCAAAATAAATAGCTTTGTAAGTCTTCGACATTTGATGCTGACCACATTAGTTTTAACGGACTCACCTATCTGAAGGCGTTCGATCATGCATCAGCACCACATCACGAGTGGGAACGTGATGCTCGACATCCTTTGCAATCGCTAGCCAGTCTAGATCAGTCGATCTTCGACGTATTGATATCCTATCAAATAGTAGTAGTAGCAGTACGCATAACATTACATGAACTTATATCGAATTAGCTGCCATCGGTTTCATCTAGGTTCTTTGTAGATAACTTCGAATACAATTTATTAAGTAAAGTAAATAAATCATATTGAAAATGAAAGTAACTGGAGACTTATTGAGATGATTTACACAAACAACATAGGCATTCAAATGCCTGTTGGATTTACCTTACAAATATATTTTCACTACAAACCGATTGCTTTTGAAGGCGATTCAGCTTTCAACTGGTGAAAAGTGTTATATCTTAGTGGAGATTGAATTATGAGTGACTTCTGAGACCTATTATTGGACTAATATTATCTCTATATTTTTTATGGTATAACTATTCAGTGACTAAACTGTGTATATCTACATTCATTTTATTATAAGCTTTATTGTACGATTTACTGTCCTTAACTTATGTCCAGTCTATTAATTACAGTCTCCTATATTCACACTCATTTTTAGCTTGATTTTGTACAAATGATATTTTTTATTTTATGATGCGATGCGGTCTATTTGACTGGTATATAAACTAAGTATGTTTGAAACATATGATTCGCATAGTGGAAGATGTTATTTGTATTCTGGATTCAACTGGACGAGCTAGGCGAGCAAAGGATCAATAAGGATGTTAAGCTGATCAGAGCGGTCAAACATTGTTAGTTGAGTACAGAAGAAGAGTAAATAAGTCGTATTTCGATTGACTAGCGAATTGCGTAATAACTAGCCGGACTTAAAGTCATAACAAAAAGCGTATATTATCTAACTATTAGCATTATCATTCCCAGTAACTTCGTCTAACTTAGCATCTTTTGTATGTATCATACCTATCACTATTGTGTGTTTAAGTTATTAGATCGGTACTGATGAACTATTATGTGACCTTCAAATAATACAAATCTCCTATGAAGACTAACATGAATACATGTGTCATGAAGTTGTATTTCATTTAAACG